CAGCAAGTATTGTGGTACTGCATCAAACACTTAAGTGTGGCTACTTGTGCCCTTGTCAGTAAGACTCAGACACTAGAAATGTAAGCCAGCTTAGAGTTCTGCCTTCTTGAGATGAATAACTTAAGTGGAAAATGTTAGTATGGTAAATGGGGGCAGATCAACTTTACCAGCTGGTGAATTTTGATGCGTTTTGCAAAGATTTTTTTTGTAGGCTGGACTACTATCTGTCCTGGTTAAGCCATGTTTGTTTGTTTTCAACATCTGCATGTTCATTCCCAGGCAGAGCTCTGGAGACCACAAAGCATAGCTAGTGTTTTGAAGTCAAACTGAACAGTTTCTCTGCCAAAATGTTGGCAGATCTCCCTTATCCTTAAATATCTGATGATGGGGGTAGGTGGCATGCTTTACTCACTATTTCAGGTCAAAACCTAGTACAAATGACGACTCAACTTTTGTACTAAACAAACCAGGAATCTAACACCATGTCAGTCACTACATGGAAAAACTAATACTTAATGTCTCAAGACTCAAACGATTATTTTTGTGCATTCTAGGCATGTTGGAGATCTTGGCAATGTGATTGCTAATAAAGACGGTGTGGCAGAAGTGTCAATTAAAGATTCTTTAATTTCTCTTACGGGACAGTTTTCTATTATTGGACGCACCATGGTGGTAAGTATCAGCTGACTAGTATCTGTACTAAAGTCTTGTTGTGAGACTGAAATTTGGTACAGTGCCCCCATATTACAGGATCTACCATTCTTCGACTGAAAAATCTGAACCAAATAAGATGAATCAGTGACCATTTGTAAATGGACGCTGTAGTATTAACTGAACAGCACTATTAATCTAAATTGGGTGTCTAAGGACAAGCTAAATGTCAACACTAGCATTTCTGGATATCATTAACTAATTCTTCAATTCAGACAACTTTTTGGGGTTTCAGAATCTCTTTATAGATTACTACTGCAACAATTCTGGTTTTGCCAGCATGAATCTGTGGTGCCCTAAAAACAGGGACCATCATGACTGCAGGTTATTGTATCTTTGTTTAATGACGTTACCTGAAGCTTTGCAGAATTTGTGTGAACATACCTGCTAATAACCAGCATCCATAGCTGTGTACAAGTCATGCTGAAGGATGACTTTTCAGCCTCAAACTTTTAAGCTGATCTGCATTATTGACTTTAAAACATGTGCAGTAGTTCTCTTGCATGAATTGTAGTTCCAAAACTTGAAGCCTCATTTAAAATGAGACATGGCAAACTTGATGTATGAGTTGCATAATGAAGGCTTGTGTGTGAGGGGAGAAGATACCAGTTTCAAGGTGGAAGGTTTAAAATCTACTTGCACTTTAAAGGACTAGAAAATTGTGATCCATCTTAAAGGAAGAAGTGGGAAGATGCTGAACATGTTGGAGCTCTTGAGCTACGTATTTGTAGTCCTTCCCTGATTTCTGATGTCACCTAAAGGATTTCATGAAGATTTGGTGTCACTTGTCACACAGACTACTCCAACTACTTGATTTCTGCAAGTGGTGTCTTCCTGGCTGGCAGATAGCTTCTGGCAGGCTAGATTCTGAAGCTCACTCACTTCCTTCACTTAATTTTTGCTTCTTTCCAACTCTCTCCTGCCAAGTCTCATTCAGTAGGTGAGATACTAAAAAAAGTTGGCTAGAAGAAACTGTGGATCTGGTCTCTGCATTGCTTCCTCTAGTATTTAGGCATGGCTTTCAGGTAACTGGTTTGAGTACAGGTAACTTGATTCAGTGAAGGATTTGACAAGAGGCACTTAATAGTGACGCTGCTAACCTGTGTTAGCAGCTAACTTAATTAGTGCCATAACACTCTAGTTGGGTATTCAGTCACTCTGGATCTCTATTGTAGACTACTATAACTTAATGCAAAGTTCTTGTTCAGGAGATATACTGTGCAAGGTAACTGGTGTGATGCAGTTGCATCACTGGATTGTGAATGCACTGTAAAATCACCACTGTTGTATTGGCCTGCATCAGTGTTTGACCAAGCAGAGAAATGACTTGTGCCATCCATTAGGTTTACAGCACAGGCACTAGCTATGAATGCTTTAACCTACTACTGGCTATTGAAATCTTCCTGTTGGCTTGGGTCCCTGTTGCAGGGATGAATTTAAATCTTAAATAGCTTAATACTCCCCTTTTGGGTAATGGTGCCAAGATATTAAGCCTAATTTTTTTCTAAATTTGGATTTTAACTTGATTGGAAATTTCAGCTTGCAAATAAGTCTCAATTGGCCATAAGAGTAACCTCCAGTTCTTAAAGAAATACTATTGACACTCATGCTGAGTACTTATGAGCAGTCAGGTGCACTTTAATATTCAGCACAGAATTATTTGAACCTTGCTCACTCTAACTAAACTCTTATCTGGAAGTGCTTAACTTCTAAGACACTGTTTCCAGCAACATGAGGGAAGTAGAAGTATCTTTCCTCTCACTTAATCTATAAAAACTAGGCTTGCCTTGGTGATATGAACTAGAATTCAGAGGGAACCACTACCACTTAAGTTGCATGGCTAAAGGTTGAAATGTTAATACCTTGCCATTTTAAATGGATTAAGAATTAACACTGCTTTTTCTTTAGGTCCACGAGAAAGAAGATGACTTGGGTAAAGGAGAAAATGATGAGAGTTTAAAAACTGGCAATGCTGGTAGTCGTCTGGCTTGTGGTGTTATTGGAATAGCTAAGATCTAAATACTGACTACTTAGAAGCACTTAAAGTGGAAATAAGTAGGCTATATAGCCATCTACATCTTCCTGAAAACATCAATATTTTGGCCTTGTTCTGGCAAAAGCTTTCTTTAATCTTACTGCTACTTTCAGTCTGTGTAGTGGCTAAAACAGTATAAAGATTGACTTAATTTTGTACAATGTGTACTGCAATTAAAATGTTGATGGAAATATATGTAGTTGTATGTTCATCTGTTCTAACGTCATCTGTTCTAATGTCATCTGTGTATGAGTAAAACACTCCTAAAGATGGATAGGGTCAATATCAACATGCATCTATGTAGTGGCTTCCAGTTCCTAAACCCTCAACAGGTGTAGAAGTTACTTAAGGCCTATGAGTGAGCACTGTAATACTAACTGTAAAACCTTCTATAATAAAGGGACATAGTTATACACCAGGGTAACAGCTGCACTGGAAGTCATTCATTCAACCCTTAGCATCATTGATCATGTAAACAAGGTTCCCCATATGGATCCACTTCTCTAGTCCAGTCTGGAAGACCAGAACATTACATCTGAGTGAAATATCTGAAAACAAAACTGTTTATAGAATTGCTGCCTCTGCTGTTGAAAGGAGGTATTATTAAACTAAATGCTGAGCAAACCTTTTTCATGCACAGCATTTTGCCTATTCACTTGCAGCAATACTAAAGGATTAAAACTGCCATACAACATGCTCAGTTCTGACTGGTTAAGGGTAAAACTTGCTCTTTATATATTATATGTAATTTCAGCAGAATCTTTTTTTTTTCTACAAGCTGTAGCTATACAGCATTTTGGAATGGGAGGGAAGCAAAACAAACCTAATACTATCCAAGCACAGAGAAGGGCTTTAGTTTGCTACTTTAGTTACAGGGGTGGTGGTGAGAACAAGGGCAATCATCTAGACTGAAAGCCTTACCTGCTTATCAAACTGTAGTATTATGTGGCACTACTTGTCTTTTGGATACAGATCCATAAGATACTCTTACTGCATTTGCCAAAACTATATATCATACCTCTTGAACTAATTAACTAGCTGGAATGGTTTGGGAAGATAGTTCACTTATTACTAACCCAGCTGGCTTGGCCCAGGTCATGCTGTTGAAATGACCATGCACGTCTTAAGGGCACCATCCATATGAAGTTAATGTAAGGCTTTTCTTCTCCAGGTAGTGTCAAATATAATATATACAGTATATTATAGTAACTAGGCATTTCCAGGGCCCAGTAATTCCTGGTATATACTACTATTTAACACTTCTATTTCTCTTAATTTTAAAGATGTTAACATTCCTTCATATTTTGAATATATAAAATGTGAGCTGTGGTAGTTGGCAGCACTTCTAGCCACCTAGATTCCCATGTAACTAATTACAAATGGAATGGTTCTTTGAATTACAATAAAACTGTAGAAAATGCCTATGCTGTCATTCTTTAAAGGTGGCAAACAATCATGTACAGGTTCCAGGGAACTCTACCATTCTGTTATTCTACACATGACTTGTCTGACAGTAGTACTGATACTAGTGAGGGGGATGTTTCAGGGTCTTAGCATTACTCAACCACAGGCAGCTGAACCTTTGAAATAAGGTGTGTACCAATACCACCACCATCTTCCCCCAACAACCCTTTAATTTAAAATCAACTTATTGGACAACATGTGCCTAAGTTTGATTTTACTTAAGGAGTGGAGAAGACAGTTTTGTCTAAATTATAAAATAATTGAAATTGGCTTACCGAAAAGGTCAACTCTGTATTAGGCACTGTACTGTTGCAGATGTGGATTGATCCATGGTAGCAGGGAAACTTGCACAGCATCATCCACTAGTTCCACTCACTACAGGCTAACCTACTTTTTATAGAATAACTGGCTTTTATACAACTGGGGCAGGTATTTACTTTCAAAACAACATTTTCTTATACTATTAAGTATCAGATGGTATGACAAAGTTTTCTGCTATAATAAAAAAACTCAGGTGAAGTGACCAAATACAATAATATATATGAAATGGGGCACTATCAAAATACTCCTTTCCAAAGTAATGACCCACACCAGTTACTTAAGTTCATGAAAAGGAAAAAAGTTCAGCACCTTCTCAGCAGTGCCTGGTTGCATTGATTTGAGTGCAACTCATATTACAGGCATCCTAAGGGGACGGGGGGGGACTTCAAAGGTTAACTGGACCATTAAATATTAATGAAAGCAGGCTAGCCTAAAATATGCACTATTTCACAATGTTACTGGCACACAATTAAACCATGTTTACCCTTTAATGTTTAAAAGTTTGTATACAGGACACCATTAAGAAATGGCATTGCAAACAGTAAGTTGTTCACTGTTTGAAAATCTGATTTCTAAATGGAGATGGTGGAAGTGTAGGGTGACTCATGTTACCTATAATACATAAATGGTTATTTCCATGTCTTGATAAAATGTATCCACTCAAAGACCTATAAGGAAGGGGGAGAATTGACAGTTAAGACCATTTTACACTTAGACAAATGTGTTCTTATATAAAAAAAGTTAGGTCCAGTGGCCTGCCATAGAACAAACATTAAGGATACACAAGTTTTAACACATGGAATTTGAGTTCACTGCAAGTATGTAAACAGTTTTTTTTTCTTTATTCTGCTATTGCAAGAACAAAAAATATATGTCCTCTTCCCCCCCCATATCCTCCCCCTACTGTTACCTCCCTCCCAAAAAATCCCAGCTATGAAAAAGTATTGATGTAAGAAAGCAGCTGCCCTTCACTTAGGAAGAAAAATCAACTTTAAAATGCAGAGCACATCTACTCCCAGGGGAAAAACATTTGAACATGGACAAGATTCAGAGAGTTTTTTTCCCCCCACTACATTTTATAGTACAACAGGCTTCAGTTGAACCTCTGTGTAACATAAGCCTCATTTTCTTGTGCACAGGATAATGAAGGAGAAAGCTTCCAGATGTAGAATTCTTTGGGATTTGGTTCAGATTACTGTTGGCTGCCTCTAAATTGTTTGCAGCAGAAGGGCTATTAGAATTAGTACTTGCCCTTTTGTAGTTTATTTTACAAAAAAATAATTTGTCAGAGAGAGAAAACAGTTAAACTTACACAAATACAGGAATGTGTATTCTTCCATTAGTTTGATAATTATACCATCACATGGGCAAAAAGTTTAAGCCTACCTCTTGCTAGAGTACAGGAGATAAGCAATTTTAATATAAACAAACAATAGTAATTGGCTAGACTTGTGTGAAGGAACAGACAGCATTTTATAAAACCCTTGAATATCCCCACCACCACTTCCCATCCCCACTTAAAAAAAATAGGTTAGCATTTTAAATTGGTGATTTGGTGTCTCTGATTTCTCTCCCACCCACCCCCTTCCAAAAAGCATTAATGAATTACAAGTACAAAAGATGCTGAACTGGTGCTTCCCCAGCCCACCACACACAATCTTAATATAACATTACAAGCAGAGCAGACTTTCTGAAGTGGTCTGCTTTGTCAGTAAGTATTTTTAAAGGTTAATTAGGGCAACATTATAGAACCAATTGGAGAAAAAATAAAACCTTGATTGCATTGCAAACACTTAAACAATTACCTCTTCAAATAACATTTTAAAACCACTAACCTTTACCTAGTATGGTCAAGTAGATCATTAAAATGCAGCAATCTAAAAATCAAAATAACTATTACAAATAAAAATTTGCTTTTGTGAATAGCTACACAAACAGATGTATTTCTTTTTAACAATTATAAACAAAACAGTCTAATTTAGACTCCAGTACAGCATTAACAGTTCAAACTTTAAGATGTTGAACAATCCTTTTCCACTTCAGTGCAGTGTAGGAAGAATAGCACACGTTAAAGTTTGTTACGAAAATAGAGTTTATTAAAAACACATCCCTATTGTTTTGAGGAGCTTTCACCGTTACCTTTTCTTAAATTAAAAAAAAAAAAATAGAAAGCACTTCTACTTCTGATTTGTAAACTTTTTAAAGTCAAAACTTTAAAAAAGTTACAGCAAAAATGGGTAATATTCATATCTTCAGTATTTTGTGTTATGTTGACACTATTTTAAATAGAAGGGAAGCAATCAAATTGCTTACAATTCCCCACAAACTACTGAGGGGCTGTGGTATAGCAGAAGCAAATATAATACAGCAGTACTGTACAACTCTAAAGCTCTACACTCCATTAAATGTCACTGTCACGTTTTTGACAAATTCCAGTCTCTAGCGAGGAGCCTCTACAACTGAGCCGGTATCCTTTTCGGCTTGCTCAACAGATGAGGTAGCCTCAGATGTTAACTCTTCATCAGGTTTTACACCTGTAGGTTCAGACTCCCCTTTATTAAGTTCTGAAACAATGTCTGCATTTTCCACTTTGCCACTATGAGATTCATGGTTTTTGTCACCATCTGCCCTGTCTGTCAGCTCAGGTTTTTCCTTTCCTCGATTTTCTTCCTTGTCTCTACGAGACTCCCTATCTCTAGAATCTCTCTCTCTGTCTCGGTGTCCACTGGACCGTCTATTTCTCTCCTCCAAGTCTCTATGTCTATCACGTTCAGGACTTCTTCTTCCCCATTCTCTCCTTTCGCGATTACCAAGTCGCTCATGATCTCTATCATCGTTGCGGTTACCATAGCGCTCACGCTCATTTTCTACCCGGTTTCCAAAAGACCTCCTTCCAAACCTTTCCTGGTCTCTATTAGGAGTGAATGTCTGCCTATCATTCCTAAACTGCCTTCCATCTCTATTATCTTCAGGCCCACCTGGTCCTCCAACTCCTGGTATCCCACCAGGCCTGACAAAGTGACCAGGTGGTGGAAAAGGGTTTTTCATTCCATGTGGTGGAGGCATTCCAAAGCTCCCTGGTCCTGGAGGTGGACCTCTGTGCAACATATGGGGAGGCATGTGCCGAGGTGGCATCAAGGGAAACCGTTGTAGATGAGGTGGTGGCATTCCTGGAGGTCGCTGGAGTGGTATTAAACCAGGCCGTGCACCAAGGAGGCCAGTAGATGGTGCCTGTAGCCCGATCACAGGAGCAGGTGGCGTAACCCCTTGAGTACCTGCAAACCAAAAAAAGTAAATCTGTTATAAAAAGACCATAACCTCAGAGTCTCTTATGAAAGTTACCCCCTTAAAGCTTATAAAAAACAGTAGGGTTAGGAAGGCTGGACAAATCAGAACTGCTTGCATACTATTTGAATTTTATTCACTCCTTGTAGTTTCAGTCTCATAAATACACATCTGCCATATACTAAACACTGTAAAAGAACACACCATTTTTTAAATAGAGATTGTGTCGATAAATTTGCATAAAAATAGTTAATACTAAATAGTATTTTTGTTTTTCATAGTCTACCTTCAAAGCCTGGCAGCTGCTACTGTGCAGGAGAGAGACTGAAGTGGGCTGTTTATCTCCACCTCCCTGCACGGCTCTGGCTACACCTCCAACTTCCTAGCAATTTATATTCCACATTTCACAACTGCTGCAGCACCTTCCCCACTATCCAGACTGCAAAGTGTAGTTAAAGGAGCAGGAGAAAAGTTAAATTAATACCCAACTGAAAATAGCTAAGATTAGAATTTAGGCAGGAGGGAGAGTTGGAGTGAATGGGGGAGGGGCAGCAGGTGCAGAATAACTTCCTGAGACGGGGGTGTGGCCAGTACTGGGGACCTGGGCAGGTGGTGAGAGTAGATACAACTCACTTTACTTTGTTCTTTAAGGTGGCAACTGCCAGGTGTTGGCCAAATTTTAACCTTTAAATTACTTTATAGCAGTCTCGCTCAACTGTTTTTCATTCTTAAATCTGGGCTCTATTTGAATGCTGTGATCAGATATAAGGAAAAAGTATAAAACTTGAGAACACCCCACTAGAGCAGGCTCAATCCTGAGCTTCTTTACATCCATACGCTCCATACCTGGGAGTCCAAAAAAGAGCAGACTGCAAGAACCGTCACAGCCAAGTATTTAAAACATGTACTGTGGGAGTTTATCTTGCACAGTTCCATTTGTTTACAGTTGATAACATGGCTGGCCCGTTATTTAGCTTTTATATGCATCTACAACCCCAGCCCTATGACTCATTTCAGTCACTTCTGTATTCTGCTCATTGAGAAGCTGGTCTGAAAATACTTCTTTAAAGCTAGAAACTGATGTAGGTATTTTACAAAAATGTTTTTACTTCAAGGGAAAGGAACCTCCAGGACTCAACTTTAATCAGAATATTGGCAGGATTTCATTCAGCATAACACATGTAAATTGATCTTAATCTGTCTCATTAATTATTTTGTTTTTAAACTTTTATCATGAAGATAATAGATTTTATTCATAAAAACAGTCACAGGAAAGTTAGACTAAGTGAACATAAAGCTAACAACGCAACTTATAGATGTTTTGAGATTGCTCTTCCAGGGGAGACAAATAAGCAGAAACCTTAACCAAAAGCCATATATTACATTTTTAAATTACTTAAGAGTACCACTACAGAAGGCCTGAATTTTAAAGCCACTGTTGTGAGCAGAGGGAAAAAGACACATCAAGTGATCTCTCCCCCGTTTCACATCCCTCAACTCCATTTCAGCTACAGTATCAACTCAATTCAGTGTGAATCTGACTATATTTAGTCCTCTCCCCCTGCCCCAGGTAAACATGACATGTTTAATGATCAGTAGTGTGTAATGCTTTCCCAAGAACAATCTCTCATCTCACAGTACCCAGTCTTGTTTCCAGTTATGATAACTAAATTTAGATTAAATTCCTTGGAACTAGGGTCATCCATCTCTGACACCTAGCACTATGGTATCTTCCTTACTTATAGCATGGATATTAAAGGCTCTAGATAGCAAGAGTCTACTGCAGGAATGATAAAGAAGCTGGCTGTTGTACTGGTCCATGGTACGGTGGTCCATCTTCTTGCCTTCTTCTCCAACCAGATACTTTAACTACAGAGTTTGATACTGTGACATTCTTGATAAAGAATCCACCAGTAAAAGCTAGCTTGAGTTGTGTTTTTTTTGTCTCCCAAAGAAGGGTATTTTGATAACCTCTTCACCATATCATTCTTGTAATTGTGCCTATTATGATCTGGTTTATGAACAAACTAAGCTCATGAGACTCCATTTTCTCATATTTGTACAATGCTCAGCACATAGTCAATACATGCTAATACATATTTTATTCTTCTTAAATGTCAAAGAATGCCTGAGAGTCAAAGTAGGTGAGGTAATATCTTTTATTGGACCAACTTCTGTTGGTGGAAGGGACAAGCTTTTGAGTTTCACTAAGCTCTTCTTTGGGACCACTTAAAATGAAGTGCGCAATTCAGGGTTAGCAGGCAGTAGTGTGTGTAGTCTATGGTTGGTTGTTTATATTGTGAGGCAAAGTTACTGCATAGAGAATAAATGTGACAAATAAAAAACTATCTAAATCTGTGATGTAATGAGTTTAAAAAGGCAGGTAGATGCCTTGGGTTTATATTTGGCATAGGACAGATGAGAGTACATTGAAACAAACTTTAGAAACATTAATATGACAAGAAAAAATTTAATTCCATTTTTGAAGTCTTGGTTGCTCATTAATTTCTCATCCTCAGCACACTGAAAATGCAGTGGTGTCTATCCCACCCCCAGTCTTCTCACGGTGTAAGAACATAAAACGGTCAGCAAGTTCCTTTCTTTCCAGCTTGGACCAACTCATCATCCCAGAGTAGTTGAATAGATTTCACTGTAAGTGAAGCGTCTTGGATGTTTTAGCCTTGCACCATACAAGGTTAGGCTATAGAATTTCTTTACTGAATTGACTCAAGCATTAGACTAATTTTACTCTAAGCCTAAAGTCCATAAATTACATATCTAAGTTTACTGACAAGTGCTAAATAAAAATTAGAACACTACTCTGATTGTACACACAACTTTTGATATAATTTACTTTGTAATCCTTTGGGGTAGAAACAGGATTTCAATGTCAAACTGTTAATCATCAAATGTGAAAAGAAGTACCAAAGCTCCCACTACAAACATTTGACCTTGTAAGCAACATGTGAGTTATTTAAAAAAAAAAAAACAACCCACAACCCCACCCACACTTAAGTGTCCACCAGTAATTGTGTAGGTAGTCATGAAAATTTACCTGCCCTGGAATAAGATCTACTTGCCCATCCATGACTATTGACAGTGGTGAAAAATCACATCTTAACCACACAGATTTATTGTAATTTTTTTTGTTAATAATTGGTTTAAATTACATATAGCCATTTATAACTCTCCAGATGGGTTAACTACATGCTTCATTCTGCATCTCTTAGCTAGAACATGGCTTGTACTCATAACAGACATTAATTGCCATTATTATATGAGGAATATGTGAGGAGTCAGATTTCATTCATGCAACACATAGGGACAAAAAATATTAATGGCCTACATAGCTTTTACCAGCAATATATATTAAGGTGCTTTTAAAAGTATACAACACAAAGAGCTCAGCAATAAAATGTATTTGAAATATGTTCTTCAACAAGAAACATGGATGTTGCTAGTGTTACACGTAGTATCAAAAGCTGCTTTTGTGATACTCCGCTTCATTCATAGATGAGCTATGCCTCAAAATGCTGTAATTGCCTTGTTTTGTATAAGCAGCTTTAGGCCAGGGTTTGTCAGATATAATATACTAAAACAGTTAATATAGTCATTTTAATATACTTGTAATGAATGATAAAGCTAGATTTCTAGGCCAATGTAATTCCACTTCTGTTCAGCTCCTCCCAGCAGTTTTTACAAATCCACATGTTTCTTTTTGGTAGGTTTAGCATTTGTAACTCTAAAGTAGCTAAAAAATATTACATTTGTTTTAAAAACCAAACTCTGGACAATATTCAGTCCAAAGTCCAGTGTAACTTTATCCATTTTTGCTCCAAAACACACCCTCTTCTGGAGATCTGTTAGGATGACATATAAATATTGAGATTCAAAATTCTGGGACATTGTTAGACCATCAGCAGGTCAAATGTTTAAGATGGAGGCTATTGCTAAGATTTCAAAATGTTTAATTTCCAACAACTATCAGATTTTGCATTGCAAATCTCTGATAAGATCTTAACACTGCTCACCATAAAATTGGAAAATTAAATACTGTCATGAAATCCATGAAAATGGTGCTGCACGGCAAAAATTTCTAAATGATGTAAACAGTCATTTCCTCCCAACTTCACTATTTCCTTTATTATAATTTTATGCACAATTTCACTTGACATAGCTTCTTGTGTTTTCAAGATTGAGTCCATGTCTGAAACCAAGAAGTTTTGTTTCTCTCAGTTTTCTATCGTATCCATTAACACAGGCCAAGATTTAAAGAAGCCTGCATGTCTAAATTTAGGCTGTAAATCCATATTTAGGCACCAAAATAATTGGTCTGATTTTCTATAGTGCCAAGCACTCAACAGCTTCCCCAGAAGCCAATGGGAGTCGCTGAATGTTCAGCACTTTTGAAAATCATGGTACTTATTTACGTGTCCAAATACAAACTTCAGAGCCTAACTTTAGGCATCATTTTTAAAAAAAACTTGGTTACCATATCAAGCTTTGGCTACCAATATATAAATTATGTTATTGATTTTATAAAACATTAGTTAGTGAAATCAAAGCATGTCATGTGACTGATTTAAGGTAGAGTTCAATTACAGGAGTGGTGTTTGAGAGCTCTCCCTCCCTTACTGGAATGGGTTACCTAGGGAGGTGATGGAATCTCCATCCTTAGAGGGTTTTAAAGCCCAGCTTGAGAAAGCCATAGCTGGGATGATTTAGTTGGTGTTGGTCCTGCTTTGAGCATGGAATTGGACTAAATGACCTCCTGAAGTCTCTTGAACCCTAATATTCTATGAATTCCACTAGACTTTTCATTTGGTCACTTGTCTTGAGAGTTGGTATTGCTACTACATTAAGGAGAAAAATAAAATGTTTATTGTATTTTTGTAACAATGAGTTATCACAAAAAACTCTAGCAGTACAGTTATGTCACCAGCACAGTGTACATTTTAAAAATAGCCCATAAACTTCCTTTCCTAATTGCCACTTTGTAATACACATTCACTGCTTCTATTTAGCTCAAAATAGAGTTATCTTTTCTCAGAGTGTTTTACTTTATTTTTCTCTATTAACATAGATTACACTAACATGCAGTTACCTCACTGAAGGATGGCAGAGGGTGAGAGAAGAGATATGCACCACACATTTAATATTATCAGGAAGTTGATTATAGCAAAATTTGTTTTAGGGTAGAATGCAAGTGCCAGAGTTGGAATTTTGATGGTCACCAGAACATTTCTACTTATACCAAGTGTGACACAGTATCTCAATTAGCATAAAAAAAAGCCAGGTCAGAGCCTTTTAACAGCCATCTCAAACATATGTTCAATAGTGACATGCCTACTAAAGCTAGAGCATTTGTTCAATAATAAAGTACCACCTAGTGAGTCAAGACCACCACTTCTTGCAGGAGGCAGATCAATGATCACTGGCAGGATCTAAAAATCTGCTTTGCATATGAGAACTTATGACATCACATCCCAAGTTATGTTATGAGCAGTTTGGATGAGACCAAAAACATCAAAGTGAAGTTGTGCTTCTACAGTCTTGCGCAGAATGAGAATACTATCATGAAAGTAGATATGATCAGGAGCATCCACTGAATTAAAGCCACCCTGACATGGTTGTAAAACTTCACTTAATGTTGGGTAAATAAACAGTGCTTTGGATGTTCCATTCCAAAAAAGATATTTTGAAAAGGTGGAAATATTTAGCCACTGTATTGGCTAAAGAGTCAAGGGTGTTTAAACTGGAGAATTATATTAAATGTGATTGGTTGTTAAAATTATTAAAAAACTGCTCTCATATGTAGACATCACACCAAAAAATGTATTTTTTCATTTTGAAGCTAAGTTATCAGCACTTGAACACAGTGGTACAATGACACACTGCTACTAGAATTAGGGCTGTGTATCAATTTTTCTTCCAAGACTACTTTTTTGTAACTTGTACATGAAATAATCTGTGCATCTGAAGGTGAACTATTTGGTTAAATATTATGTTAAGGCCAAAGATCTTCATTATGGAGACTCTCAGTGCACAAAAAGGTCCTTTCAGAAATTAATATTGTACATAAAATTCAGACACAATGTGACTATAAAGGTAATCAGAACCAAAACTGTCTGTTGAGAAGGGAACTATAATGCAGATGTGAACTGGATAGGTGACTGGAGTGACAGAACAAAACGTAACTATGACATCACTGTAAAACAGCATAAGAAAGCTTACAGTAATTAATCCATTTAGAACTCTATATACAATAATACATGTTTTTTTGTAAACCAAACAGATAAATAAGCTTCATTTTAATTTACAAAAATATTAGAAGAAAGACCCTGCCTTTATACAGATTACATTTAAAGTATTCCCAGGCAAGATTATTAGGGTTAGACTTTTATGAACATCTTGTCAGAACAATCTTCTTTCCTTAAATTCCACTGGCTGAGATATGTTCTTCTATGTTGTCCACATCGTTGAAGATCATTTCCCTCCTCCTTCCCCCCCCACCTCAGATCACCCCTAGTTCCTCAGATGGACCTTCATGATGCTCTTGAAAGATTTGAAAATCTTTCCATCTATTTGCTTTCCCACTTCTCTCAATTTTGAAGGCCCAGAAGAAGCTGGATAGGGCCTTCATGTAGAATTTGTCAATGTCTATTCCAAATAGCTACACCTCATATTCAAGAATGAAAGGTTCTATTGTCCAAGGTGTTTGATGCCCCTTGCCTGCTTCTCTCCATGGCAATGGATAGCTAATTGCAGGTGACTGTTTACAGCCTGTTGTATTATCTTCTAATACCCTTCCCATTTTGATAATAATTCAGAAGAGTTATGCAAGGCACTCTACTATCTTAAGTGAAGGAGAACAATTTCTGCTTCCCACCCAGTCTCTTGCTAGTCTAGTGAACAAGAGACCAGGTCTGGTTCTCTCACACAGCAGTACTGAACTCAACCCTCTAGGGCAGGGGTGGCCAACCTGAGCCTGAGAAGGAGCCAGAATTTACCAATGTACATTGCCAAAGAGCCAAAGTAATACGTCAGCAGACCCCAATCAGCTCCCTCCCACCTACTGGCAGCCCCAATCAGTGCCTCCCCCGTCCCTCCAGACCAGCTGTTCTGTGGTGCGCAGGAGGCTCGGGGGTGGGGGTGGGGGGGGGGTGGAGGAGGAGCAAGGGCATGGCAGGCTCAGGGCAGGAAGGGGTGGAGCCAGCGGTTGAGCAGTGAGCACCCCCCGGCACATTGGAATGTTGGTGCCTGTAGCTCCAGCCCCGGAGTCGGTGCCTATACAAGGAGCCGCATATTAACTTCTGAAGAGCCGCATGTGGCTCCGGAGCCACAGGTTGGCCACCCCTGCTCTAGGGGTAATGCACTTTGAATATTGTTTTTTTAAGGGTGCGAGAATTTCAGTTGATTTTCAGTTAGTAAATACAACAAGGATGTTAATTTCTGACTTTTAATTTGTAAAATGCATGCATCTCTTTGTATATATTTATTTCTACTGGTCCTGTGATGTTTTTTTTGTCTCATCTGCATGTTCTTGCATAATTCCTTGGTATATATAATCTCTAATGTAAAAGGGACAGCTATCAACTTGAAATAGTCATTTTTAGTAGTGGCAAAGTAGGGACAGGTATAGTACCTGAAATAAGCCCGCTTGAAAAATTCTGCTTTTACAATAACTTTTCAAAAAATGCTTCTCCCCCCACCCCACTCAGTAAATATCCAGAATGTTGGAATAAACTAATCTGACTGTAAGATCAGCATCACAGTTTTTCCTGTATGCAAAGTACTGTCAATGTATGAAGTTAAACTGATAAAAATGGAGAAACATTTTTCAGTCAATTTCTCTAAGCTCTTTCACATGTAAACACAGCAATTAAAAAGATTCAGAAATGTTTTGATTTTTTTAAAAGCTGACAATGTCACTTGAATTTATTTTCCTTTATGAAGTTGGTTTTCACTTCACTAAATAAAATCCCTTATATACAAAGTCAAACAGCAAACAGTACAATACTCTAATAAATTTAATTGTTTTGAGTAAGATCTAGGTTATACATTATGGTACCATTACCAAACAGATTAAAAAAAACCCACATTTTTATATTGAGTCAGTTATTTAAAAAAAAAATCGAGACATCAAGATGTCCACATGCCTTGACTGAATAACCAAGTGATCTTATCACTATAACCACCATCCTCTCTCAAGCCACACCTCCCTACAGTTTGTTATCCCCCACTTGTCACACTGGACTAGATTTTCACAAGTGAACACTGATTTTGAATGTCCACTTAGAGGCACCTTAAAGCAGCCTGATTTTCAGAGGGCGTGTGCTCAGCACTTTCTGAAAATCAGGTCTCTTCAAGTTATCTCAATTTTTGAGCTTCCAAGTGAGAGCCTCCAAAAAAAAAATCACTAATCACCTTTAAATATCTTGGCCACCATGTCCACTATGAGATTTTTCAGGGTAAGGTTCATGTCCTTCTACTTCTGTAACGCACTTAGCAAATTTCTGGACACTATTCTAAATAATGTTATCCTTTTATATCATGCATGCCAAGCTCTTCTTTGTAAACTCCCACAACCAAATTTAAAAGATGGTTTGCTGCAATACAAGTATTTTATTTTATTGTAATCAATCTGAAAATTAGAGCAGACTTTTGAGTGCATATGTGATAAAATGACCCATACTGGTAGAAACAAGTAAGGGGTATGTGAAAGACATTCTTAACATACCCGTAGAAAACTAAATTGCCTTTACAATCTGCATGTATTCACATGTACTTAAAAAATAAATAATCAATCAAGTAAACCAACTTTGGTATGTACAAATCTAATATGTTTTCAAATCTCTTCTTCTATAATGTAAATATTTATTAAGATTTAACACTTAAGAGATCATGTACCACAGGCAGTTACTAAAGCTTTGCATACAACAGAGTTAGGTCAAGACAATATATATAAAATTACCATTTTTGTAGACAAAAATAATATACCAATTGTTCAGATTTTTTAAAATTTATTTTCAGGAAAATAGCACTCTTTCAATGGATGTGTACAATTTCCTCCATGCACACAAAATTCGAGCTTAGAGCACAGATCATGCCATATGACCAAACACCTGGATGTCATAAAGATAATTGCTAAATTAAAAGTCTTATTTGGATGAGTGTACATATTTGCTGGAACAGTCTAAACATTAGACTGAGTCAGTCAGTCCCAAACTTTATCCAAGATTTAGAATTAGATTAACAATATAGGGTCTTCATTTATGAGGAAACAGAAGACAAAATTAAAGTTTAAATGCTTGTTCTAGACCAAGGCAAATGTATAAAAAGGCCAGTACTGGCCATACATAAACAAGACAGAACTTTCAGTACACAGCTTGCTCTGAACTGTGTTAGTTTCCCATACATTTTAAATAGATAACAAGGAAAGAAGCATAAACCTCCTAGTTTACTTAAAAAAACAACAACAACAACACAAAATACCCTGTTTCTTAAACAAACTGAGTATAAATTGAAAAATATGCAAACAATAAAAAATGAACTTACCAAGAAGTGAAATAGGTTGGGTGACAGGTGGAGGTATGTTAGTAGGTGCTACAGGTGGTGGAACAGTCCCAAATATTTTGGAACCATCACCAGTTTCAGCATTCCCTCTCGATCCAGAAACCACAGTTGGAATGGGATTTCCAATAGATAAGTCTTTTGTAGTGTCTTCATTTATGCCAGCCACAGTAGCTGAGGAACAATTACATTAATATATGAAAAGTTAGATGTAATTTTTCCTGCATACATCTAATTCCTTCTCTCTATAGTCCCCTTAATCAGTGTAGACACACACACACACACACACTTACAATTTGGGATGCTTATTCCTGGAGTGTGAGGAACAGATACTGGAGGGGTTATAGGAGGTGGCGGTCCAGGAGGAAGAAAACCTATATGAACAAACACAAAAATTGACAAATTTTAACACTGTGTACTTTTAGATCATGTTTTAGTGCAGACACTTTTAATGGTTATAAGTTTAAATCAAAGTATATTCTCTAGAAGTACTTAATATACCTGGGGGCAAATGCATTGGATTGAATCCAGGTCGCAAAAATGGAGGTGGTGGTGGTACACCAGGGCCAAACCCAGGAGGAGGGATCCCTAAAGGAGCCGTGAAAGTAGGCGGCTGAAGTGCACCAACTACAGGTGGACCTGATGGATGTGGTGGAACCGATGGATGTGGTGGAACCTACAAAGGAAGGAAGGAAGAGTTAGCCTTAAAACCACATGCATTTGGTGAGAAGTAATCTGCTGTGCTTACTTTGTTAGACAAGACAAAGTAAGAAATTTACTGTCAAAACTGAAATTGATCACAGATGGCTGTGATTTTACTCAAACACTGGAGAACACACAAAACACCATCAGATTAAATTGCAGTTCTGCTCTGAAAAGTGACTAGATAAAAATGGCACCTTATAAATAAGGATACGATTTGGTCACGGATTCCGTTGCATCTGAGTAGGTATTTTTTACTCCTAATAGCACTGGAGACCCATGATAACTCTTGATTTAACTGAACTGTATTCCTTAGAACATAAGAACCACCATACTGGGTCAGACCAATGGTCTATCTACAACAGCATCCTGTCTTCCGACAGTGACCAATGCCAGGTGCTTCAGAGAGAATGAATGAAACAGGGCAATTGCACAAGAAGGGAAGACCCAGCTCAACTCTCAGATCCTAAGCTGAGTTTGCATGAGTTATCTATCAGAGATGATGTCTTTTTGCCATAAAATAAGCAAATTTGATATGGAGATTGAGAGGAACATACAACCCCATCCCACCATTCTCATAACAACTTTTTTTTAAATATAATTTTGTTTTTCAGAGCGGACTTGAATTTATTTTCATTTAAGTTTAGACTCTGCCTGAAATATGCCTCAACATAATATTTCCTATTTTAAAATGTTATAAAGTTAGTTTTAATTTACATTTCCTTCCTGTTGTGTGTATTGTTTTGGTTATATTTCTTAGATACAGTCGTTAGTTTTCATAAAGGTGTTATGAGAGTTTTCTGTATTTCCTGCTAGTGTACATGGACATTTTCACTGGAATTTTTCGTGTAAATCAACATCTCATTCATTACATCTGGTTAATGTATCTTATCTGAAAATTAAAATAAAAGGACTTCTGGTGTTTACATATGATAGATGTTTGTCCTCTTTGCTGAGTTTTAATTTAATGCATTAATTTCGTTATTAAAACTAGATCCCAAACATAAGCGAAACAAAACTTTCTCAGTATATTACACCAAGTAATAAGAGGAGAGCATTTTCTTTTCCCAATTCCCAATAGTAATAGCCATGATACTACTAAAACATACTGAAGATGTAAGTTTTAAAAAGGCTACCTCATTAATTGAGAGACCTAAAAAGATCTCTAATGGATCATTTGGAAGACTACATATAATTACTGACCAATGGTGGATTTTTGGGTGGTATCTACTTCCTAGAAAGCAGGGGTGGCTCTAGCTTTTTTGCCGCCCCAAGCACGGCAGTCAGGCCACCTTCGGTGGCGCGCCTGCCGGAGGTCTGCCGGTCCCGCGCCTTTGGCATACCTGCCGCCGAATTGCTGCCGAAGCCGCAGGACTGGCGGACCTCCCGCAGGCATGCCGCCGAAGGTGGCCTGACTGCCGCCCTTGGAGCGAACGCCAGGCCGCCCCCCAGTGGCTTGCCACCTCAGGCACGCACTTGCTGTGCTGGTGCCTGGAGCTGCCGCTGCTAGAAAGGAATGGAAAAAGGCAAAGCATCTGCTTCAAAGTACTGATTGTAGCCCTAGTCCTTTTTAAAAATGTTTGATACTCAGACAAGAAAATTTAGACTTCATTGATTTAGAAAAAAATTTCAACTAAGGTAAGTTGTCCATTGCATAACAATGAGTTTCCAAATACCACTATTATTAACTAGTGGACACTAACTACTAAAACAGTTTGTACTTTAAAACTTGACAAAAGAACATTTGAATCACAGAACCATAGGGTTAGAAGAGACCGCAAGGGTCATCTAGTCCAGTGGTTTTCAAACTGCGGGTCATGACCTAGTACTGGGTCACGGAATGCAAGGCACTGTGTCGCAGCGGCTCTGGTCAGAACTGCAGACCAGGCTATTAAAAAGTCCTGTTGGCAGTGCTGCCCGGCTAAGGCAGGCTAGTCCCTACCTGTTCTGACACCTTGCTGTGCCCCGGAAGCAGCCAGCAGCAGGTTCAGCTCCTAGGTAGGGGGGCTCTGCACGTTGCCCCCGCCCTGAGCACCGGCTCCGCACTCTGGAGCTGGGGGGCAGGGAGAGGCGGTGCCTGCAGGCGAGAGCAGCACACCTCTGCCTAGGAGCCGGACCTGCTGGTGTGCACTTCCGGGACGCAGCACAGCACAGTCCGCGGTGCCAGGAGAGGCAGGAAGCCTGCCTTAGCACCCCCATTGCACCACAGCCAACTGAGGTAAGCCCACATCCCAATCCCCTGCCCCAGCCCTGAGCCCCCTCCAAACCCGGAGCCCCCTCCTGCACCCCAAACCTCTCATCCCCAGCCCCAGCCCAAAGCCTGCACCCCCAGCCCAGAGCCCTCTCCCAAACCCCTTATCCCCAGCTCCGTTGGGTCACGGGCATCAATAATTTTCTTCAACTGGGTTGCCAGAAAAAAAGTTTGAAAACCACTGATCTAGTCTAACTCCCTGCCAAGGTGCAGGATTTGCTGTAGGTCTAAACTGATGGCTATCCAGCCCCTTTTTGAAAACCTCCAGTGAAAGAGATTCCATGACTTCCCTAGGGCAGTTTGTTCCATTGACATATTGTTCTTACAGTTAGGAAGCTTTTTCTGAGATTTAATCTAAATCTGCTATGTTGTAGTTTGAACCTTATTGTCTCTTGTCCTGCCCTCTGTGGCAAGAGAGAACAATTTTTCTCCATCTTTCACATGGCAGCCTTTAAAGTATTTGAAGACTGCTGTAGGAGCAGGATTTTATAATTGTACTATGAGAATTAATGTATGATTTGATTTCATCCTGCCAGCCACTCTTTTTGAATAGCAGAAAGGAATGACAGACCAGAACAATCCTTATGACTGATTATGGTCACCCTTTTATTTTAGGATAAGTTGTAATGTCTACTATGGTTTCCTATATGTATTACAAAATTAGGCACTCTAGTTAAATATATATTTCTTTGTTTTAAGGTTTTAGTAAGTAAGAGACAGAATCTTGTATTGTATCTATGTTAAGGAGATTAGAGGAATGTTGAGGGCCTGAAGCCCCACTGTGAATTGTTTTAGTTATAAGATTTAGCAAGGCTTGATTTACAATGTATTCTGCTGAATATAAAATACTGCTGTCTGTATACCTTTGAAGGTTTCTGTAAGAGATTGTTTGTGTGAATGAGGAATGCATGCATCAGGAAAAGATAAGGTGTGAAAGCCATCACAAATGTCCAGATGGTCAAGAAAAAGTGAGAGACTTGGAAAGACCAGGAAACAATCAGAAAACATCCATTGTATCCGATGCTAAACATGTTAGCAGCATTGACGACCTCAAGAAGTGAGGCAGGCACCCCCGAAGGCGAGAAAACAAATAGGAGATAACTATGGGAAGCCCAACAATAACCATCAAATGAGAACAGCAGAAAACCCCAAGATTAACACCACTTAAGGACAGGATGACATTGCAAAATGCATTGACTCAAATGGAAATTTACAACTATAAAGCTGGAGTGTTTTGCCATGGAACTATGGGTTCAGTCCTGCAAAGCCTCGGCGCATCGGATCGCGACCAATAGAGCCCAGCTCCACACTCGTGCTCAATCTAACAGGCCATTAGATTGACTCGAGCTACAACAGACTAGTAACTATAAACATCAACTGGCAGGAGTGTGAGTGTGAGAGTGTGTGTGTGTAAAGCATATGCTAACTGTTGTATTTTCAATAAATGCGGCGTATTTGCCTTCTTCTCTATAAAAGATCCCATGTGCTTTGTATAGCATAACACTGCTATCATGTCTCCACTTAACCTCCTCTTTTCCAAACTAAACATACCCAGTTCCTTCAGCCTTTGCTCATATGGCTTGCATTCCATCTCTTTGGTCATTTTTGTCACTTGCTTCTGGATCCTTTCCAGTTTCTCTACATCCTTTCTATACAGCAGTGACCAAAATTGGACACAGTACTCCAGATGAGGCCTAACTAGTGCCAAATAGAGTGGTACTATCACCTCCTGTGACTTACATGCTATGCCTCTGTTAATGCAACCCTAAATTGCATTAGCTGTTTTTGCAACAGCATCACATTTTTGACTCATGTTGAGGTTGTGATCTGTTCTTCCTTAAGTGTAGCACCTTACATTTGTCTTTGTTGAATTTTATTTTGTTATTTATAGCCCAGTTCTCCAATTTATCAAGACCCCTTTGAATTTTAGTTTTGCCTTCAAAGGTTTGCAACCACCCCATCTTTGTCTCATCTGTAAATTTGATCAATATGCTTCTATATCCAGGTCATTAATAAAGATGCTAAATAACACCGGGCCCAGAAAAGATCCCTGTAGAACCCCACTTGAGACCTCCTTCCAATCTGGCATCATTCAATTAATAGTTATTCTTTGCAGTTTAACCAATTATGTATCCATTTAATAGTAGGTCTACAGTGCCCGCATTTCTCCAGCTTACTCATGAGAGTGTTATTTGGGACTGTGTTAAAAGCCTTGAGGAACTCCAGATATATTATGTCCACCGCATTCTCCCTATCCACGAAATCAGTTACCATGTCGAAGATGAAAATCAAGCTGGTTTGGCATGATTTGTTCTTGGTAAATCCATGCTGGCTGCTAGTGATCACTCCATCATCAAGGTATTTGCAAATGCAATGCTTTATTCATTACTCTAATAGCTTCCCAGGTATTGAGCTCAGGCTGACTGGTCTATAGTTCCCCAGTTCTTCCTTTTCCCCCTTTTAAAAGATGGGCACTACATTAGCCCTTCTCCAGTCTTCCAGGACATCTCCTATCATCCATGAGTTTGCAAATATCGCCAGTGGCACCAAGATTTCTTCAGCTAATTCCTTCAGACCCTGGGGTGAATAGCATCAGGCCCTGCTGACTTGAATTCATTCAATTTAATGAAAAGATCTCTGCCATGTTCTTTACTTATCCCAATCTGCATCTCTTCCCCTTTATTGTCTATGATAACATGAGACTGGATGACTAGCAAAGTTACTGTGTGTGTGAAGACTGGAGCAAAGTAGGCATTGAACTACTCTGCCTTCTTATCTGTTACCAGCACACCACCTTCACGGGCCCGCACCATCCCTGATCTTTCTTTTTTGTCTGATACATCTGTAGGACCCCTTCTTGTTGTCTGTAACATTTCCTGCCAGTTGTAACTTATTTCTTGACTTGGCTTTCCTGACTCTGTCCCTATGTGCTTGTGCTATTTATATGTATACATCCTTAGTGACATGCCCCTTCCTTTCATTTTCTGTATCTATCCTTTTTGGTTTTTAGGTAGCTGAAAAGCTTCTTGTACAGCCACATTGGTCTCTTGTGCTCTTCTTATTTTTCCTCTGCATCAGAATAGCTTGATGTTGAGCCTCCAATACGGGGGTGGCCAAACTTACTGACCCTCCAAGCCACATATGATAATCTTCAGACGTTTGAGAGCTGTGTGTGCCTGTCATGGCTTGGGGCTTCTGCCATGTGGGAAGGCGCCTTCTGGGGCTCCAGCTCAAGCCCCAAGCCCCAGAAGACATGCCCTGCAGGGCAGAAGCCCCTAATCCCACCACCCTGTCACAGGGCAGAAGGCCCCTTGCTCCCCCACCCCCAATGTCTGGTAGGTGAAGAATTGGGGGGAGGGGGGAGCCTCTGCAAGCAACACTTTAACTGTAAAAGAGCTACATGTGGCTTGCTAGCCATGGTTTGGCCACCCTTGCTCTAGTATTACATCTTTAAGGAACTGCCAGCCCTCTTCAACTTCTTTTCTTCCTAACTGGTCTCTCCATGGGACCTTGCATACTATTTCTCTGAGTTGATTGAAATCTGCCTTTTTGAAGCCCAGTGTCCTTGTTTTTTCTCTTCTCATGTCCTCCTTTCCATTAGAGCTTGAATTCCATCAGATCATTATCACTTCTTCCTAAGTTTCCAACCACCTTTGCATTCATTACTAATTCATCCCTGTTGGTCAAAACCAGATCCAAAATGGATGACCCCCCTAGTTGTTTCCTGAACAGAAAGGAAACAGTTGTTTCCTGAATCAGAAAGTTGTCCCCTATACATGCTAAGAACTTTCAGGACATATCATGTTTTTCTGTTAGTCTTCCAACAGATATAAGGGAAGTTAAAATCCCCCATTAATACTAGCTCATGTTGTTAACTAATCTCATTACCTGCTTGAAGAATGCCTCATCCACTTTCTCTTCTTGATTTGGTGGTCCATAATACCTCCCACCGTAACATCACTACTATTCTTTTCACTTTTTATCCTCACCCAGATACTCTGAGTAAGACTGCTGCTCATTTCCTCTTGGCCCTTGGAGCAAGTGTATACATTCTTGATGTAAAGTGCAACACCACCTCCTTTTTTCCCATACTTATCCTTCTGGAACAAGCTATATCCCTCAATGTTGGTACTCCAATCATGGGAGTTGTTCCACCAAGTCCCTGTAAGGCCAATTAAGTCATAATTTTCTTCACATACCATGACTTCAGTTCATCCTGCTTGTTTCCCATACTCCTTGCATTGGTATACAGGCATCACAAGATATTTCACAGACTGCCCTATTTTTCTTCTTGCCTCTCTAATGCAGTTGTCATTTCTAATCTCTTTTCCAGAATTTAGCCCCTTCCCCTTGTCTTCATTACTTGAGCCTAGATGTGCATTGGCCAGATTTTTGAGATCTAGTTTAAAGCTCTCCCTAGAAGATTAGCCAGACAATGACCAAAGATGCTCTTCCCAGTATTTGATAGATGGAGCTCATCCCAGCAAAATAATCCTCTTTCCTGAAACATCAGCTCATTGTCGGAGAAACCAAAGCTCTCTTGCTGACACCATCTGTGTAGCCACGCATTTACTTCCATGCTTCGATGGTGCCTGCCTAGGCCTTTTCCTTTGACAGGGAGGATGGACGAGAACACCACTTGCCCTCCAAACTCTTTTATCCTTCTTCCCAGAGCCACGTAGTCTGCAGTGATCTGCTCAAGGTTATTTTTGGCGGTATCACTGATGCAGATAAATGGGAAGGTGTAGCATTCCGAGGCCTTGATGTGTCTCAGCAGACTCTGTCACATCCTGAATTCAGGTTCCAGGCAAGCAGCACACTTCTTGGGATTCCCAGTCCAGATGGCTGATGAATGTCTCCATCCCCCTTAGGAGGGAGTCCCTGACCACCACCACCTTTCTCCTCCACTTGGGAATGATAGTAGTGGAACCCCTATTCTTAGGACAATGTATCCCATGCCTTCCAGTCAACGAGGGTCTCCTTCTGATCCATTCCCTCAGATTACTCAAAGGCATTCTCAACAGTGGTACCTGTACCGAGAGCTTGAAAATGGTTGCTTGCCTCTGTGTTGGAGGTATACCGGTTCCCCTCCTCCTTTTGGAGGTCTCACACTGCCAATTTTCTTCACTGCTCTTCAGTCCCCCCTGCACTGCCTTCTCTGATTCTTCAGAATGCTGTGTCTACAGTACCAAATCCTGACTTTTATTCCGGAAGTCTTCATTTTCTCTGATGCAAAGCAGGATCGCTACTTCGGCCTCCAGTCCTTTAACCTTTTCTTCCAGTAGGGAGACTGGCTTGCACTTCATACAGATGAAGTCGCTTCTATCCTCCAGGAGAAAACCAAACAGGTCGCAATAGCTGATACATTACAAGGAAGAAAATATGGGTAGTGAGGTATCAAGAGCCTCTTCAGACCATGTTTTTCTTGTTTCCGGAAGCCTGAAAGGCAAAAACTCTGTGCTCTCTCCCTAGGAGAACTCCAAGGCAAACTCTTTGTGTTTGCTTCTTCTCGGTTCATTGCTCCCTAGGTTCGTGACTGGCTGCCTTTTTATAAGCTGTATTGCTTCAGCGCACAGAGAGAGGAGATCTCATTCCTACTTGTAGGTTGCATGACACAGATTGACTTGTCCCTGATGAGAGGCAGAAAATGAAGGCAGGAACTCCTGACTGCCCTGAGTTCCAATAGGTTGATGGTCACTTCAAGAAACCAGTCTTCACATCTGCCTTGGAGCTCTCCCTCCCAACAGGGATGCATCCACTGTTACAGTGACTGTCAGGATCACTAACAGGGATGGCTTCCCAGCAAGGGAAGCACACTTTGAACCCTGGTGAGCCTGGCATGCCCTTCCAAGGAAAGGAAGTCTCTCCAGAGGGAGGACAGAGGAACAAAACTAATCCTTTCAATTACTAAACTAAAAAACTAAACTAAATAATCAGGGAGAAAAAAAACATCCAAGGCACGCTCAAGGTGGACATACTAAAGCGCCATTTCAGGCCAAGGCAGTTGAGAAGGAAGTATAGTTGGTTCACCCAGGCAGCCCTCTATAGCCTTGGGGTGGGGCATGAGATTGTGTAGGGTGCATGCACGGGCTGAATTGACATAGCTAATGAAAGTCTCAGACTGAAGGCATATGCAGTGCATGCACACCTGAAGCAGAGCACCCATAGGGACACTCCTCAAAGAAGCAGCATTACTGCACCATAACAATAGATTTTTCTAAACTTTTAGTGAAGTACTCAAAGGCCAACTCAGTGAAGTATCGAAAACACTAATTTTTGTTCAAATTCTACTGGGTGAGGTTTTTATCTGTATTCAGTTTCTTAGACATAGACTTGCGTGTTCTATTTTATTTTGCTTGGTAATTCACTTTGTTCTGTCTGCTATTACTTGGAACCACTTAAATCCTACTTTCTGTATTTAATAAAATCACTTTTTACTTATTAATTAATCCAGAATACGTATTAATGCCTGGGGGGAGGGGGAGAGAAACAGTTGTGCATATCTCTCTATCAGTGTTATAGAAGGCAAACAATTTGAGTTTACCCTACATAAGCTTTATACAGGGTAAAATGGATTTATTTGGGTTTAGACCCCATTGGGAGTTGGGCATCTGAGTGTTAAAGACAGGAACACTTCTGTAGGCTGCTTTCAGTTAAGTCTGCAGCTTTGGGGCATGTAATTCAGACCCTGGGTTGGTTTTGGAGCAGACGGATGTGTCTGGCTCAACAAGACAGAGTGCTGGAGTCCTGAGCTGGCAGGGAAAGCAGGGGCAGAAGTAGTCTTGGCACATCAGTTGGCAGTTCCCAAGGGGGTTTCTGTGATCTAACCTGTCACATATACCTCATCTCCATCTTCTGTGATTTTTAAAGTTCTTTTGTTACTATCATTGAGACTTAGTTCAGCAGCTAGGATCAGACCAGTTGCTTTTTGCTGAGGTGTGCTCAGCTGGGAAGTGAGACTAGGCTGAAGTTGCACTGCTTTTTTTTTTTTTTGGTAAAAAAAAGATTGAAGCAGTTGGTATCAGGTAGAAGCTGGATGTGGGAAAAGAAGATTATGTGAGACACATTGCCAGGGTTACCAGTTAGACAGGCATACCAGAATAAAAAAAGGCTAAACACTACCTGAGATACTCTGTGACTTCTGTTTCCCCCATCCTTCCATCTCTATGATTAATTCGTGAACTGACAAGTTGAACTATGATTTAAATAAGTTTCTAGTTGCAGCTATCCAGCAGCAAATGGAGAGAAATGAGTAAACAATCTCACCTGTGGAGGAGGTACTGTTATAGGTGCCGGTATGGGAACAGGCATTGGAACAGGCAATGCTTTAGGGATAGGTGACACTGGTTCATTATGTGTAGTTTCTGCACCTCCATTTTGAGCTACTTCATTTTCAGATTTCTTAGAAATTCCTTTCCACTCTACAGGAAATAAATAGAAGCCAGTTCAGTTGAAAGAGTATGAATATTTAGTCACTATCGACTGCTGCTAAGTAAAGCCAGTGTGAAGATTATGTTGCAAACAATCAACTAGCTGTCCCTATAAACTAATTGTATGTAAAGGTGTTTCTGAAAATCTCTGTAAATACAGACTGTACAACAAGCAGTCACTAAAGCAAGGCAAGTAAAATAAAAAAAATTACTTCCAATAGTCATTTAACAGCTGATGTGACTCAGTTCTTTGCATTCAGAACTGCTGTTGCATTTCTGCAAAGGATTCTGAAGCACATTAGCAACAATGAAAACAGTGGGATGTTGCTTGGAACAAGCTCTGCAGTCAGTACGCATAATTAGTTATTCCAGGGCAAGGCAAAGGCAGCTTTTCAATCTGATAATCACCATGTTGGGAGCACTAATATTGTATTACTACTGTGTGGTACAACACACTCCTGTGCAAAACAGAAAGAGAAAACACTAGTCAAGCACCACTAGAGGAGCATTTCCTATAGCTCCAAACTCATTTTATAATGGAATGAGAACATATTTAGGGGAGGACCCTATTGCCAATCAATGCTTTCTTAGGCCTTGGCTACACTTGCAAGTTACAGCACTGTAAAGCCTCCCCCAGCACTGTAACTGACTCCCCGTCCACACTGGCAGGGCACTTACAGCGCTGTATCTCCCTGGGAACATCGCTGCAGGTACTCCACATCTCCGAGAGGAATGTGAATAACAGCTGCAGCGGAGTGGCTACGACTCATGGGTGTGAGTGTAAACGCTTGCAGCGCTGTACTAATCACCTTGTCAAGTGGCCAATCCTCTCCATTGTTGTGACCGGCTGCAGGAATGTGGAAGTGCTGGTTTCAAAGCTCATACCACAGAGAAAAGCAAACAGTTTGCAGCTTACTTTGAGCGAGTGAATGAATGAGCAGGGGCCCAGGAGTTTGGAACTTGCAAAATAGAGAGCTGACATGCTCCAAAAAGCACTCTCTCTCCCCCACACTCCCTGTCACAATCCACGCCCCCCCACCCCCGTTTCGAAAAGGACATTGCAGCCACATGAATGCTGGGATAGCTGCCCATAATGCACCGCTCCCAACACAGTTGCAAATTTTGCAAGTGTGGCCACACCACTGCGCTGTCAGCTGGCAGTGTGGACAGACTGCAGCACTTTTCCCTACTCAGCTGTACGAAGACAGGTTTACCTCACAGCGCTGTACAGCTGCAAGTGTAGCCAAGGCCTTAGAAACCAGCAGAGAAAAAAGCAAGATGGATGAGGCAAAAAACTACCTGGAGAAACAGCCCAGATATTAAACACAAAAAAGAATAAAACAGCAAGAGAAAAGACAAGAGATTTAGAATGCCATTCTTGATGATGGAACACAAGTGTTGATTTGCTATCAACAGAAATGCTGCACTGAGATGAGACTGAAATAGTGGCTGAGATGATACAAAATGCCTGAAATCACTTAGGTTACTGTAAGTAAAAAAATTTGAGTAAAGCCAATGTGAAGTCTATCCCAGATTATCTCTGAATAAGCTTTCACATATTATCGCTCATTTTAATGCATTCTTGGCTTTTTTGCTTATTAAAAATTGGACAGAACAATGAAGAATGTTGAAATAACACTAATCGGCCACTGAAGTTTCTCACACAAATCAATGGCTAAACTGTTAAAATCAACAATAGTCTAGTGTTCCATATCACCAGTTCACAAAAACAGACACAATAACTTTCAACTTTAAAATAAGTTTTGGTCACATGGTTGTTTTATGCACTTCTTAAAACACAACAGTTAGTAATGAAAGCTATCGTTAGCACTTGTGTTGAGCCAGAGCTTGGTAATTCCCATTAAGTGGTTTACCACGATATCTATTACTATTTTCTTATTGTAAACTTAACAAATAAGTTTGTTAACTTGTTAAATAACACCTTGCATTTTCAGTACACGTGTACACATACAGAAGTCTATGCGTATAGTTTAGGTCAAGACAAATACAATATTTCTATACAATCAATATTAACATGTTTGTAAATAACAGATTTCTATCGAAACAAACCATTCACAGCTCTAGTTAAATCAACCCAAAATAATTCATTTGAAGATGATTTAAAAAAATTTGTGTATTTTACCTGGGCTAAGAGTTTCATTGTCCAACATTCCTCCTTCACAAAAACTTTCAAGGTCTTCAGGCTTCACTTTGTCCCACGGTACGTAGGTAACACCTAATTCTACATCCCAATACTGCTTATAGTCTGGTTTAATTCCTTTATTTAAAGCCCACGCAATCTTAAGGGGGGTGGGGGGGGGGGACAAAAACAAAAAAAAGGTCAGAGCCCAACTGCATTTTAACTTTTTTGTTCAGTACTCAAAAAATATGCACTTAAAATTAAACAGCATTCAGCATCACAACATAGGTCAGGAAGCAACAGAAAGATACTGTGTCCAACCGGAGCTGCAGGAGAAATTTAGGCAATTATAAATACTGGAATTTAATCAGATTGTCTGGGCTAATTCTTCTATATAATTTTGTAAAAGATGCTATAAGATTTTGGTTTATTTTAAATGATCCCAAATGGTCAGCACTTCATTTCGGTGTCATTCAAGAAGACAGCACCGAACTCTCTAAAACGATATTGGGTCACTGATTTAATATTGATTCAGATGAAAGAATGCCACTACTGAATCAGCTTCACTTTATTTAGTACTTTATTTTCTTTGAGGATTTCTCCAAAATGATTACAAGACAAAGGGAATTTAAGACAGGCACCCTTTTGTCAGCTTAAGAGAAACCCTTGTTAGTGACCTGGAAGAGAAGAAAGGATCCAAATTCCATCAATTTCCATATACCAAATTCTCACCAATAACCAAACTAAGTAGGGCATTCACCTAAGTTACTGAACGTCATGCTATATATAAAATATTAAATTTAAAGATTACGGTAAGTTTTAAAACTGTTTGAATCTATTATAAAAGTTTTCAAAGTAGTACCTTTATAGATTTCTGATTGACTTTGAAGTTGCCTCGGCTCAGTTTTTGTAGGGCACGGTAAGCATCCTGTCTGTGAACCATTACAATATAGGCACATCCTCTAGGCGGTATCATCTGTTACAACATGTACAGGAACAACATTATTTAAGCTGCTACACTTGGTAAAACAAAAGGTAACCAATGTATTATTAAACAGAAGTATGCTGAAACAATAGTCTTGCATGTCAGGAAGACCTCTGGATGAGTTAGAGGGCATAAACAGATCTAATACTTATTAGTGGATATCCTTTTAAACTAATATCAAGACAGACATTAATATTTATCCATCTAAAATTCCTGTTTAAAGAGAATGTAGCCTGGTAAACAAGGAGGCAAGTACTTATGCCACAATGTAGATATTCCATGTGAGGGAACATGCTGATGAAAAGTACTCCATCCTGAATATGGCTGAGAATTGCATATACAGAAGTTAACTCCAAGATCATGGCATTTTTAATGGTTGCAGGAGACTTTTTTCTCCAATACATAAGCACTCTGTTTTTGTTTTTCTAAAAACTACAAATTGCCACCTACACCTCTGTTTTCAGTTTTCTCTTCAAATGGTTGTAATCGTTTTAAGAATAGTCATTTTTTAAAATCTAATTTTACAAAGCTACCTCTAATTTGTTTTGAGGAATTAGAGGTAGCAGAGAGAAACTACAGCCAAATTATGGATTTTTGTTTTTATTTTTAAGTTTCACTGCTAGTAGGACCATAAGCTATATCAAAATAACAAAAAAATTAAGAGAGACTGCTGTAAGCTTAAAGGAAGGGGAAGAAAAGTGTACTAGCAGAGTATTACATAAACAAGGTTCTGCAATCAAGGGGTCTCCACACAATCAGGAGAATGGAGGACAACAGCTGTGCAGCGAGCATCCTGCAGCTAAGCTCCTCATCCACCATCTTTCACTTGGGTCTCCTCAGACAAAGCATGGTGCTCATGAAATCGGGGTTCTCTTCTGGGTTAACCCCAAGAATAATGGTGCTTTTAAAAGCAAGTGTCTTGTAGCAACCACTTCATATTTTCCACAAATCTAACAGTGGCAATAGTTCAAAAAAGATGATGGTATAGAGAAAAAGGTAAGTGTTGATCTTGGGAATGAACACTAAAACAAAAAGTTGTTTTAAATAAATGAGTTGATTATAAATAAAAGGCCTCTTTATAACAAAGACCTATCATGACCTTTGCTTGTATTTCACTATTTATACTCACATTTATAGATTCAATCGGGCCAAACTCCTCTAAAAGACTTCCAACATCCTGCTGAGTTGTTCTTTTGTCTAGTTGTCCTACCCAGAGTGTAGTACTACAAACTAGAAGAAAAATAAATTCTGACACATAGGACTTTACTATTAGCACTTTTAAACTTTACTTTTGCAATATAAAGGCTTGCGTTAAAATGGCCATTAAAGATAAACTGAAGCTTTTTTTTTGTTAAAAGAAAAATGTTTATAATTCAAGTATTTATAATATTACAAAATAAATATCTTTTAAAACAAAAAAATTTGAAAGTTATTTCCTTTTTTCTTACCTGCCAGGAGCTGAATTCAGGGTTCTGTTTAGCCATGACTACATACAACCATTGTTAGAATGTATACAGAGATTTCAAAATTATAAATAAATGCTTAATTGACTTGGAATTTTAAAGAGTCATGAATTTTAAAATTCGTGATAGAAAGGGGAAAAAACTTTTTTTTTACTGCTGTGTCAGTGCAGACCTGTGGATTTCCCAACAAATTATGGTGAATGAAGGCAAATACTGACTCCCAGTGTTTCACACTTTAATTGCAGGCCAGGGTGACAGATTCTAGATAGGTGACAATACATATATGAAAGATCTTGCTAGCAAGGTGGTATCTGGCAGGCACAAGATAAGAGGCCTCCCTTCCAGCAGATAGGATAAATCAATTAGAATGGATGACAGATCCCTCCTCTTAAATGGTTCCCTTCTCTGGTCAGTGTGTTTAAATTTATTACAATTAACTTTGTTCTTTAGGTTGAAAATGGAACAGAAGTAGTTCAAAATACAGGCTTCTACAACCACCACTCCAAAAGTAAGTATGGCAGAATTTGACTCATGGCATCTATCCTTTTCCACTCCCCTGCAAGTAGGTATAGAATGGCTAACTCTAGACACCCTGGATCTCCCAGGAGCAACTGACATGACAAAGAAATTGGGAGAGAGACTGGAAAAGCAGCACCTAAACACCTGAGACATTTGGTAGGTCTTTTCACCTCTAATAATAAAAACATTTGAAAGTGTGCTGCCCAGACGTGTCTGGCTAGTCAAGAAGTCCCTCATTAACAGGCAAAGTAACCCTGCTTCAGCCTTTATCCACAGATATCAAAGAGGATAGGTCTTCTCCTGGACCAACACTAAATTCAAGGTCTCTTATTTTGTCTACTGACTCCAGGAACTACTTCATATCCCCAAGGAAAATGTAGAAAAAGCCTCCCTATTTCTTTAATCTAGAAATGTAGACAACACAAGGTTCAGTATCAGCTCCCACATCCTCCACGCCAAAGTCCTTCCGATTCAGACAGATCTACAGTGCTGAACAGTAGAGAAGAGGAACCAGGCTGTTCAACTCATCAAGGCACACAGTGTGAGAATTGCAGATTTCTTGGGAGAAGCCAAAGAACAAGACTGGGTGCAGACTTAGCTTCCCTCTTTACACAGCCTGAGGAATCCCAAGGTATAGAGGTATTCAAATAAGGTTACACTATCGAAGTATAATAGGACCCACAAAAGGGAGATGGCATGAATTCACTCAAACAGCTTTGGAGTAGGAAGAGAGACGAATCCCACTATGGTTTGGGATTGTTTCTTCCCAGGATGCATCCATGCACACCGCAAAGCCCAACCCAGATGACACCAAGCTTAACCCAGGCAATCCTTAGCACTGAGACCGACATGGAGGAGACTCATCCCTTTGTCTGGCCTTTTAGATGGCCCTTGTAGAGGAAGAGGCAACAACCCTGGCACAAGAGAGTTCCCATGATCTTTAGGAGACCCAGTCTTCATCTGAGGAATTGGCAACATCAGGAGATGCATCTGCAGTTTGAGGACATTTCCCCCCCTCAGATCCAGGTCTTTGTTTTTGTTTTTTTTCCCTCACCTCAAAGTTCCTCTTATATTTGATGGTAGAGTTCAGAGAGAACCCCAGGTCATCTGACAGCCCAGGTCTAACTGCACCAACAGATGAGACAGTGGCACAGCACCATTGTCAAAAGGGAATAGCAACCAAGTCAAATCTAGGACCACCATCAGCACTAAGAAGTCAGCCCTCGTGGTGCGGACACATTAGAATCTCAAGCAGCATGGATGACTTTCCAGCATTGAGAGCAATCTGGCACCAGCACTTGCTGAAAGTGCATTGTCTGAGGCTTCACATCAGTCAAAGATTTCAAGGCCAGACGAGAACCATCATGATCTAGTCTGACCTCCTGTGTAACACAGGCCATAGAACTTTCCTAAAATAATTCCTAGAGCATCTCTTAGAAAAACATCCAATCTTGATTTTGGCATGTTTCTGTAAGAGTTATTTCATTCAGACTAAGGCAGCAACAGTTAAAGCAGCAGTCCCTCCTACCTCCTCCCCCCCCCGTCTGTCATATTGACCACACAACACGCAATGAGGTCAAGTGTGGCAGGCATCATTAGATTGCAAAATACTTGGGTCTTCTGAGAATGCTCAAAAGTGATTTTTCACTCATTTATAATTCGTCCACAAATCTCTCAAACCTATCAAAGGCATTGTGCCTAGTTAAGGGTTTTAGAAGCCAAATTCTATGTTTGAAATTTCAACTGTTTTAGGTGTAAAATTTGTCTGGAATTGTAGCAATTTCTTCAGCCTCACAGAACTCAAACTGCAAAAAGAAAATTTCCTCACCTTTTCACAAAATTCACCTGTTTACAGAGAAAATCTTGAGCACCTGAGAAATGATGCTATAATAAGAACCATTTTGCACTAAAGCTTCCTTTCCTTTGAAAGTAAAATCAGCAAAGGAGAGCACTCACCACTAACAGTTTCTGATTTGATTTGAGGAAGGCCTTTTGATCTGCGTTCTCTCTCTTTTTCTCGTTCACGCCTTTCCTGCGACCGAGATCTAGGAGAGTGTCGGCGCCTATCCCGGGATCGGGAACGAGAGCGACGATGACGTGACCTTCGAGATCGAGATCCAGACCTCGATCGTCTCCTTTTTGGAGATCTAATTTTAAATAAAAATATTAACATACAATGCTTTGTCTAAACACACAGTATAAATATCTAATTTGACTCATCGGGAGTGAAAGTTCAACAATTGCATTTTTAAAAACTTTGAAATCAAGCATTAGTGTGTGTACACACTAGACATTTATACTTAACAGTACATAGTGTATCCCAAATAAGTATTTATACCAACTGTAAAAACTTAAGCAACATACTTTATCTATACTACAAATTTATTGTAATTTATTATTCTTTCAACTTCTGAAAGTTGAAAGAAAAGTGCTCTATCACTTTTATTTTACTCTTGTATTATGGCACTAACTCCAATATCTATTATATCACATAATGTACTTGCAGCTATAAGTGAGGAAAACTTTTCTTACAAGATGACAACTAAAAAATTAATAGAAATGTCAGTGAAAAAGATGGTTACCTACCTTTCGTAACCGTTGTTCTTTGAGATGTGTTGCTCATGTCCATTCTAAGTAGGTGTGTGTGCGCGCTGCGTGCACAGTCGTCAGAAGGTTTTTCCCCTACTGGTATCTATCAGGTCAGTCCAGGAGCCCCCTGGATGTCAAGGCCCTGAGCTCAGATACCCTCCTGGCTGAAGTTATCGTGACTAGGAATGCCACTTTCCATGAAAGGTAGAAGAGCAAGCATGTTGCTATGGCCTCAAAGGGGGACCACATTAACCTGGAGAGTACCATGCTGGTATTGGATGGTGAACTTGAGAGTATAATCTGTCTAGTCCCTGAAAAGGCAGCCCACCATCAGGCTAGTGAACACCAATCAACCGTCAACCCCCGGGTGGAGCGCAGAGCTCGCCGTCAGTTGAACCTTTAAGGATGAAACCACTAGACCTAGCTGCTTCAAATGCAAGATGAGGGGTATTGATGCTTTCATCAGATGTACCCTTCTGCATCGCCCAAATCAAAAATCTCTTCCACTTGACCACGTATGTAGCTCTAGTGGATGGTTTCCTGCTGCCGAGGAGGACCTCTCTTACAGGCTCTGAGCATGTCAACTCCATGGGGTTTAGCTATGAAGCTTCCATGCCGTGAGGTGGAGAGAGATGAGGTTGGGATGCTGGATGCATCTGTGGTCCTGGGTGATTAGGTTTGGCACCAAAGGCAAGGCGATCAGAGTGGCTACCAACAGTTCCAGGAGCGTGGTATACCTGTGTTGACAGGGCTAGGCTGGAACTATCAGTATGATAGACACTCTTTCCCTTCTGACCTTGAGCAGGACCTTGTGAATGAGCGAGAAGGGTGGGAATGCATAGACCACATGGTTCTTCCAGGGAAGGAGAAATGTGTCCGTGATAGAGTCAGGGCTGTGGTTCAGGAAGAAGCAAAACTGCTGACACTTTCTGTTGAGTCTTGTCATGAACAGATCTACCTGGGGAACCCTCACTGTTGGAAGATGCTGTTCATGGTGTCCGGGTGAATGGACCACTCATGGTTGTGGAAGGACCTGCTGAGATGGTCCTCCAGCTCATTCTAGGATCCTGGAAGTAAGAGGCCTCTAGGTGTATTGAGTGGGCTATGCGGAAGTCCCACAGTTTGCGGGCTTCCTGGTATGGGGAGAGGAGCATGCTCCACCTTGTCTGTTTATATAAAACATCACTGTTGTATTGTCCATCATGACTGATATGCATCTACCTTCCAGATGGGATTGGAAAGTTTGGCAGACTAGGCAAACCACTCTCTGCTCCCTGACATTGATGTGAAGTAAGAGCTCTGCTTAGGACCAGAAGCCTTGAGTCCTGAGGGCCCCTAGATGTTCTCCCCACCCAAACGCTGATGTGTCCGTGAAGGGCACCCCTGTGTATGCCACTTGAGGATTGAGCCAGCATAGGAGGGACTCTATAACCAGAGGTGGGAGCGAAACTATCTTGTCCAGATTGTCTCCGTTTGGCTGGTACACTAACGCCAGCCACGCCTAGAGAGGCCTGAGGCGCAGTCTTGCATGCTGAACTACATATGTGCAGGCGGCCATGTGACCTAGCAGCTTCAAGCAGCTCTGCATCATCGCGGTGTGAAAACGCCTGAAGTCCTCTATGATGGAGCAAATGGCTTGGAAACGAGGCTCCAGTAGGAATACGCTTGCGTGAGTGGAGTCCAGGATTGCTCCTATAAACTCTCTCCTCTGGGTAGGGGATAGGGTTGACTTCAGCACGTTCAGCAATAGACCCTGTCTATCAAAGGTTGACCATGTCAGGTTTACATACGCTTCTACCTCCACCCTGGAGTGGCCCCTGACAAGCCAGTTGTCAAGGTACGGGAACACCTGCCGTCTCCTCAGGAAAGCTGTGACAACTGCCATGCACTTGGTAAACACCCGAGGGGCTGCTGACAGGCCGAAGGGGAGGACTGTAAGATGAGTGCAGTTCACTACGAACCTGAGGAACCTCCCGTGGAACAGGACTGTCAATATATCAAAGTATGCGTCCCTCAAGTTGAGGGCAGCATACAAATTCCCCAGGATCCAGGGAGGGAATGATGATGGCAAAGATACCATGAGAAACTTCAGAAACCTGTTGAGGTTTTGCCGGTCAAGAATGGGTCTGAGATCCCCTTTGGCTTTCCATCGGGAGTAGAATTCCTTTCCCCATAGCTCCTGAGGAACCTCCTCTACAGCTCCTCAACTTAGGAGCATTTGCACCTCCTGTATAAGAAGTTGCTCATGAGAGCGGTCCTGAAGAGGGACGGGGAAGGGGGATGGAAGGGAGGGGAGAAACAGAATTGGAGAGAATATCCCAATTCTACTGTGCACTGCATCCAGCAGTCTGAAGTTATCTGGGTCCACACACAATAGAAGTGGGATAGATGGTTCAAGAAACAGGGAGAGGGATCCAGGATGTGGTCTGGTGCATCGCCCGGGTGCACCCTCAAAAGGCATGCTTGGAACCGGAGGGCTGCCTCGCCAAACCCTGGCCTTGGTTGGGTGGGAACTGGGGAGGCCTACGTCTATTGTTCCTGCCCTGCTTCCTGGAGTAGTCCTGCCTAGGCTGCGTAGGATAACAACACGCGGGAGGCTGGGGCTTAGAGCACTTTCTGTGTGTGGCTGGTGCACACAGCCCCAAGGATTTCAATGTTGCCCATGAATCCTTCAGGTTATGGAGTTTGGAGTCCATCTGCTCTTAAAACAACCCCAAGTCTTCAAAGGGCAGGTCCTGTATTGTTTGTTGGGCCTCTGGAGGGAGGCCTGACACCTGCAGCCATGAATTCCTCTTCATGGAGATAGCGAAGAACATTGTTTGCGTGGCCAAGTCTGCCGCATCCAGGGCAGCCTTCAACAGGGTCCTTGCCACTGCCAGAGCCAGTTGGGGACGAAGGGCTCCCTCCATGAGGAGATGTTTAAGTATGAAGTCCCTCTCTTTTTTAGTGCTAGGACGAAATCCCTTGCAAATCCCACACCAATTTGTCTGATGGGATTCCCCAGGCACCTCAAACAGGACTTGTGGGGATCGCCCTTTGGCGTAGGTTTATGGCAGGTCCCGCATGGCTTGAATTCTTGGGATTGAGGCATGCTTCGATCCCTGGGAATGGGGAAACAAACGGGGGGTGTGGGGGGAAACTAACTAAGCTAACCACTACTAAAACACTAATTCTACTCTATTTATAAATGCAATAATAGGGGAATGCAAGAAAATCATGGGTGGTAAGAAGGAATTGAAGTGGCAGTCAGCAGGGCCCTATATGCAGCGCCATGAAGGTGCAACTCCAAGGGGCACCGACCCAACAGGTACCATTAAGGGAAAAATCTTCCAATGACTGTACACACGGCATGCACACACCTACTTGGAATCGACATGAACAAGCACTTGAGGAAGAACAATACTACTTTACACTATTATTTAAAGCTAAGCAAACCAAGGCCTGACAGGTATTTCAAGGTAATCCTCCAAAAAAAAGGTAAAGTGCTGCAAAGGAGTGGCCCTGGTAATTTAGTAGGCAGATTTGCCACATAAATACAGGTGGCTTTTAGCCACCGTGGAACCAGTATACCAGGATTCTGTTAGGATATGCTGTCTGTCTTTCTGATAGGCAAAACCTACAACCCACAAAATCATTCAAGAGCCTATGGATCTTTTTGCAAATATAGTGTTATGAACTCTAGAATCCTGGTACAAATTAAGTAATGACATTCTGTCTATTTAAGATTTCTCCAGTAACTGCAAAGGGAGAAGTTTCTACCAGAAGAGGAGAAATGTGATGTTGATGGCTCTGAAGGACTGTCTCAGTCCACTCAAGTAGTTACTGCATTTCAGAGATATAAGAGTGATTCCTATGTATCTACTGCAACTACTTATTTGGCCCCCCATTATTGTAGTATCCAAGCACTTCACAATCTTTAAATGTATTTATCAACACAACACACGCTGTAAAGTAAGGAGGTCATTTTACCCATGGAAACGTGAGGCATAAAGATACTAAGGACTTGTCTACACCAGGAAACGTACTAACATAGTTATACCACATATCCTTTGTGCATACTCTTATTCCTGAATAAGTGTGTCCACATAGGGATTTATCCTGCTATCTCTATAGTGGTAAAATTATACCCGTAAATTTCCCAGTTTAGACAAGCCCTTAGTGGCTTGCTCAAGGTCATGCAGGAAGACCAGGGAATGAATCCAGGATCACCAAGTCCCTGGCTACCACACTAACCATAGGGCTATCCTTCCTCAACACACAGACACTTAGTAAAGCACTTTGAATCCTTTTGATGAGATATGCTAAAGTTAAATATATATATATGTAAAAAATATACATATATTACCAGTGCTAGAAAAAATTACATTAACTTACCTTGATGCCGATCTAGATCTTGATTTTCTGTTATCAGAAACATGTCGTTTAACTTCCTGAACACAGGGCTGTTCCACCTCCATATCCTAAAATACCCCACAAGTTAAACTACTGTAATTACTGCAAGTATTAATTTTATTCCAGTTTGTGACTAGACTCAATTAGTCTACCAACAAGTTACATGAAATTAAATTCATAGTTAGATATCTAGAATCAAAACCATGATATGATTTTGTCCAAAACACAGATTTTACTGTTTTATTCACCAGTGCAAAAAATAATAATAAGCACAATACATTTGTAATAAATACTATTACTATGTCAACATTTTAAAAATAACTCATACAAAACTTGTCTTCAATTTTTAAATTGTTGATTTTTCTCCACATGTAGTTAATTTCAGCATGTTATGTTATTAGGTATAATAAATGTTTCTATAGTAAGAATGGGGTATGAATAACTAATGACAGTCAAGCTAAAAAAAACCTTTGATGATTTTTTTTAAAACCTACTGTTGTTACAAGTAATGTCCAAAGTCACCTAGTCTGTGTCTCAACAATGTGTTCCACAACAGTATGCCCTAATAGTAAAAGATATTTGCTCTAACTGCCAATTCAAATTCTCCACTTACAACTTTTTGTTTGAACATTTTCTTTTAATTGAGCACCAAAAGATTAAATCACTGGCAAAACAAGGTGTGCACGAAGGGACATGCCCTCACTCTTGTGGGAGGAGACTAACGAGCTCTTCCAGGCCTGTTCAGCACAAATGAGGCACACCTACAAGGCTTGTCCTGCCTGGAAGGGTGATCTTAAAAAAAGAGAAAACCTGCCACAGGAAGAGGCAGTGAACAGGAGGAGGACTGTTCCACCTCAGAGACTGCTGATAGCAGAGACAGGCCAGCTGAGAGGGAGACAGTGAAACTGCCCCCTTACAAAGTAGCACACGCCCCCAAAACGAGGAGCTGGAGGTAGCCCCCATTGAAAGACAACAAACCTGCTGACAGACTAAGCCCAAAATCTGAAGCTGAATCCAGAAAGACTGCCTGATATCCAGGCTACTTTTGCCTTTGTTTTCACGCAGATTCTCCTCTCTCATAAGGGAAAGAGAGGGGAGAGGACCTTTCTTTTGTCTGTTTTACTCAGAGAACTCCTCATGTGTTACTAACTGGGGGAAGGACAAACAACTGGAAGTGGGGTCTGGAGGGAGCCCCTACCCCCCAGTCTGCAACAAGGAAACTCTGCTCTGAAATGTCTTATGAGACCCAATGTGGGACTCCCCCTTCCTGCAGACTTTAAGCAAAGTCTACAGGAGGAAGTTATACAGGGTGGATTATGGAGATTGTATATGATATAATGGAATGATAGGAGAGTAGGGGGGAGTGTCATCCATATTTTAAGAACTTGAGGTTTAAATGCTTAACACTTTCTCCTCCCTCTCCATTCAAAAGCAGGGAGCATGACTCCATCCTGCTCTTTCCCATGCCTCCCAATCTTCCACCATCCTCTCCATGTTCCTTTTCTCAGACTTTTTCTACTATCAGGTCTCTGGTCAGAGATCCCTACAGGGAGCGCAAGGTGTCATTTCCATGAATTGGGAGATTAAATGTTATCAAGCAACCACAGGCCCAGTCTCTCATTTTTCAAGGGTAAAAAAAATATATAATTATGTTCATCTAGTCTGGCCAATTGAATGAGGTCACCTGCCTTTCTCAGAGCTACAGGAGCAGCAAAGGTCCAACTTATTGATGCCTGAAGCAAATAAATTGATCAGCAGAGTCCCCAACTCTTGGAAGACTGAATCATTCTGCAGCTCAGTTTTCTCTCCCCTGAACACTCAGCCTGAAACCTTAGTTTTGTCAGAACATATGAAGCTGAAACTAGTTAAGTCAAAATGTGTTCCACAACAAGACGGGGTAGATCTCACCCTAAATCACAGAGAAAGCAGTTGTGAGGAGCCAACTGCCTACAATCCCAGATAATGGATGCTCCTCTTGAATTCTCATGGGAACTATTTTTCTTCCCATTTGCACTTGATCAGGCAGGCAACCCTCGTAAACCACACGGTAAGAATTTTAGACAGAAGTTTTCCTCACTCATGTTGCTAGATTTGTTCCATCTTCTCAGGGACTGAAAAACTTCAGTGAGGAAGGTGATCTCTGAAGAGAGACCGGGCACTGATCTTATCGACAGAAGAAATGCCTGGAAAAACCTACTGTAAAGGACGGTCCACTCAGCTGTAGGTGAGCAATAAATCATCAATTCCAGATGAATGGCTTGCCAAATAGTTGCAGCAGGGTGTCTGTGTAGTCTCTGAACCAACTGTTCAATTTGTCATTGTATTTTTATTGTTTTACATGATTGTAGCACCTAGAAGCCCCAGTCCTGGCATTGTAAAAACAATGAACAAAAAGACAGACCCTGCTCCAAAGAGTTTACATTTAAGTCTGCAGGAAGAATGACCCTTTCAAAGTGTGTGCAGAACCTGAACCTCGGGTGTGTTAAGTCCCACAAAAATGATAAGGAGCATTTGTCCCAGATGATCACAAAACTGTGTTGAAGAAATGGACCATTCTCCAGGAGTTCTGAATCACCTTCTGTCTGCTACAAAACCTGAAGTGGTTGTCATCCAAAGGACTGAAATGTATATACCCTTTTCTTTGAGGAAGGTAAATACGGCCACTAAAATCTTGGGAACAAACATGGAGCTGACAAAAAAAGCCAAGGGTGGGGGAGAGGGAAGAAATATTGAAAATGGTGATGATCTCAATAATCACAGGTACTAGAAACATGACAGATTAATGAAAACAAGCAAATACAGGATTATTTTTATATCTACACAACATAAACAACTCCTTTGCTGGATGTCCTGAACGAAGAAAAAGGGTCACCATCCACAAGCAGGCATCTTACTGCCAAAATTTACAATTTACAGGAAACAGGACCAGGATTGGGACGGACCCACATCATTATTTTTGGGAACCAAAGCAAATCTTAAATATCAAACTGCCTCTTCAGAGGTTGGGGCAGGTGAAATCGCATACAGGGACAGTTGGTGATGAACCAAGTCCTAAAGAGCTTCCCATTTGCTTGGACTGAAGGGAAGCAAATTAGGGACATGAAATTTGGTTAGAGGGGATAAAAATGTGGTAGTCACATTGCACAATGTCCCAAACACACTGGTATCCCAAGTGGATTTAGCCCAAACTGACAGAAGAAACCTTCTCAAGCTAGCCCTGATAGGGAGGCAAAGTCAGAATCAACACTCTGACTGCTCAGTGGCTCCTAAGAAGTACGCTCTCTTTCTCTCTCTAGGAGAAAGAAAGGATTGTTTCTAGCATTTGCCAGTACCCCTAAAGTTCTTAGCCTGAAGAAAGCAATCATTTTGTCTTTGTGCACAGAAAGCTTGTTCACATTCAAGGCCTCAACAATCTACTTTTTGTGATTATAAAGGGAGCCTGAATCAGATAGATTCTTAAGATAGCATATGTCCCAGGACTGCAACTGAATGTATATCCTGGCTATTGTGGTGGAACAGAATAAAGAGCATGAAGAAAATCTTGTAATATCACAGACTGCATCATAAATTGAGAAAACTTGGTATGGATTCCGGAGCCTCTTTTTTGTAATCACATTGTTTTTTGGATCTCCATTTGGATGATTTACTATCTTTTATTAAAGAAAGGGAAGCTCTGGATGTGACTACACAGGCTATAAGTACACAAGGCTGCTGAGAATGCACTCAATCTTCTTTCAGAGAATGTTCAAGTCTTATCCCTACGTTCTTCAGGGAAATTGCTCCCTCAAAAGTCTTTCACGGATAAAGTCTTAGAATCCATTTTAGAGATGGCAAATTTTGACTTCTTGTGTTTAGGAACTTTATATACCGTACATACTCGTTCATTAGCCCGTTCGTTTATAAGCCGACCCCCCAAGATGGTTAGGTAAAAATAGCAAAAACTGTATGACCCTTTCATAAGCCAACCCTATATTTCAGGGGTTGGCAAACTTTGGCTCCCAGCCTGTCAGGGTAAGCCGCTGGCGGGTCGGGACATTTTGTTTACTTGGAGCGTCTGCTAGCATGGAGCCCCGGGGCTCCATGCCTGCAGACACTCCAGGTAAACAAAACGACAAAGTATTAGATATTCAATTCAATGATTCCATAGAGTTTAAAATCATCAAATTTTGGTGTAGACCCCCGCTCTTTGATGCGTCACTTTTTTTTACCAAAAATATTTGGCTTAAATTACCGTATATACTCGCTCATAAATCAGAATTTGCTCACTGATCACTTCGTAGAAGGAACCAGTCACTTTAAATCCACAATATCCTCCAAAACTTCTGAGATAAGGGAAACTATCCCTTAACTACTATTTTTCATTTTAAGGGGAATTTCTTGGAATTTTTGAGTCTGCCTCTTTTTCAAATATATTGTTAATCTTTAAAATGAGCTCATTAGAGTTAGACTGATATTGCCGCAAGGACTTTGAGGAGAGAGAATATTCCTGCAGCTTGATGGGGGTGGAGGGAGAGATGAAAAGAGATAAATAGACTGGCTGCAAGATCCAAATCCAAGGCTTTTCCCAAAGAGAATCAGGAAAAAAGTAAGCATTGCTTCTGCTACACAGAGGCAGAACACTTGTGGTGCAGTGTCTACTGAAGCACTTTCGCACCTAAACTTCTATCGAGTGAGCTGCCTCCATGAATGTCTGTGGGCATAGTCGCCTTCAATGGTCTGACAGATTGCCTGTTAGTGCTTTTAAACCACTAGGAGCCTAAAATTGTATTGGATGGCAAGAGTCCTCACCTGCTGATGTGTTTTCTGTATGTGTGGTTCACTCTGTACTGGGAAAGGAGACTGGAAAGTTTGCTGCACTGCTGGTGTTGGTGGTATCACAGGCTGAGTCATGGGAGGAAACTGTGGGGTAGGTAGAAGTCCAAAACCTGGCATTTGTCCATTAGGAGGGAGCGGGATCTTTAGGGGAGGGGAAACATTCATTTTCAGTCTCAGTGAAAAAATTGCTACTTCAACAATAATAAGCTTGGCTTGATTAATGGAAAGCTGCACATATTTTGCTCAGAGCAGCATTGCAAGTTTTATATGAAAAAAGCACATATATACATTAACTCTGTGTGTTCATACATGCATTTATATATCTCCCTAGTTGTGTGGCCCCTTTCAAAACTCAGCTGAAAAATTTAGCATGCAATATGTCATTAGAATATGTAAAATACATTAACATGCACTCACAATGCAACTTAGTTCTAAACATTTTCTACTCTAGGGAACTGACAAGGCTCTGATGCTGCAAACACATTTAATTTTCTATATGTAAGTACTGCAACTGAAGTCAATGAAATCACACATGAAATTATGGATGTGTATAAGTTGTTTACCAAAGCTAATGGTGTATACAAACATTATTTCTTCATTTTTAACAGATTTCCTTCCAGTTCCATGCATCAAAAATATTAAATGATTCCATATGAAGAATAGACATTCTAAACACGTATTAATAAAAGTAACAAATTCCAAAGGAAGTTAATCTCAAAAGTAATTCAAAGCTACCTGGTGGTGCATTGGATCTTGCTGCATTCCCATCAGTCGTGGTTGAAATGGGTCTATATTTGGGAGCTGTGGATATACCGGCTGCTGCATACCTTCTCCTGGAAAGCCACTAAAAAACAGATAATTACTCTGCAGCAGCAAGGTAATGTTAATATGTAAACATTCTGTTTTTACATTTAAAAATCTCATTGCTGCTTCAAATTTAGATAAAAATTTAGCTGAAAACTCCATAGAAACCAATCATCCAATTACAGGTAGAGCTGGAAGTGATTTCTTTAGTTAAGGCTACCTAAAACTTTGCATTACAAGATCCCATTTTCAATGATAACTTTGCCAAAATTTAATCATCGAAGCTGAGATTTTTCATGCCAGGTATCTATCTCAGGCTACACCCATGTTTCAGCAAAAAAGGTTCAGCTGTTTGAGAATGAGGTTAGAGAAACATTTTGCCCATGTTAAAAAAAAAAAATCTTACAAATGTTTTGTTGAGAAACTCTAATACCCTCACACTTTGGAGCAGGACTTGAAGTTTGGCCAAGGGAGGTTGGGGAGAGAAGAGGGATAAGTGTCACACTGGGATCAGAGAAGTGCCTTTTGATGCCTTACTCAGTAAACAGAACAGACAGTGCTCAGGAAATTAACCAGATATTCATAGTGAATAAGAGTGTTATAGAACCCTTGTCTCTTTTGTTGCAGACGTTGGAAGGTGTGTAATGAATGGAAGTGTGAAAAACTGGACTCTAGCCATGACTCTGCCACAGATTTCCTTTGTGATATAGGGCAAGTCACTTAAACCAAACTTTTCAGTGTGAGTTCTCATTTTCTGTTTGCCCAACCTGAGACAGCTGGGGCCTGATTTCCAGAAATGCTACATACTCAACTGCAACTGGAATCAATGGGAGCTGTGTATTAAACATTTAACGTGCTATAAATACATTAAGTGCACTGAAAAAAATCAGGCCCAATATGGCCTCAAGAGGTACACCCAATATTAGTGGATACTTTTGATAATTTTGGTCTTAATCTTTATGTGCCTTAGTTCCCACCTGTAAAATGGGGGCACTACCACCAATTTACTTCACATGGGTGTTGTGAAGAGAAGTTCATTAATATTTGTGAAACATTCAGATGCTATGGAGACGAGCACCATAAAAAGAGCTTATGAGGAAATTAACAATTCTGCATTAAGTGCGGAGTTTGGGTCGTTTGTGACAAATAAGACATGAGGCCACATATTCAATATTTTTGTTTAGCTGCTTAGTAACTACCCATTCATTGAGTACCATGCACTCAAGCCTGTGCACTGAATGAGGCAGGGCCATTACAGGCAAAAGTAGGTAATCACGTAATTAAAGACTACCACAATGTGTACGCACAAAGGGGCCAAACTGAAGTTGCATATGAATTAAGGATGCACTTAACTCTGAGTGCTTAAGGTTGCAAACTCAATTTTCTTTTAGCAATTCTGTGTTTCTTCCACAGCCAGCAAAGCAGTCAAGTTAATTTTATTAATAAAAAAATGCCTTGAAATATCCAGCTTTTAAAAAAAAAAAAAATACGAATCTGAAATCTTGCACCTATAACTAGATGAGCTGTTAAGATAACCTACAGAACAGATTCTTCACCCAATTCTGTGACATGCCAAACTCTTACACAGTACCATTTAAATAAAAATAACGTAGTCAAACAATCATCAATATCTAAACTTGCAGACTTTTTATTTCTATATTGTCATAACCTAAATTTTAATTTAAGCTTTCTTGTATTCATATGAATCTTATTATTTTGATTTTACTACGCATCACAAAACTTACAATGGTGGTTGAGAAATGGAAGGAGACGGAGCTGAATCCTCTTTCTTTGAGTCTTCTACTGCTTCTGGCTCATCATCATAGTCAAATCGATCTAGCAGCTTCTGAAAGAAGTTACATTGAGCCAACTCCACTTTCCTCAATATTTTATAATGAGCAACTAAAATATTTCTATTACATTAAGGATATAAGTGTCTTGCTATAAAATTTTAGCAACTCTGGAAACTAAAGGCGAAAGATATTTTACCCAAGGAGCAAAGACAGTTACCTTTTTTTTGTAACTCGTGCTCTTCGAAATATGTTGCTCATGTCCATTCCATTGTAGAGGTGTGTGCTCGCCACATGCACCGGTGCCAGAAGTTTTTCCTCAGTGATATCTGTAGGGACCGGCTCTGGTGGCCTCTGGAGTGGCGCGCGCATGTCGCGGTATATGGGGCGCTGCCAGCTCCCCCCACCCTCAGTTCCTTCTTGCCAGAAACTCCGATAGTGGAGAAGGAGGGTGGATCATGGAATGGACATGAGCAACACATCTCAAAAAACACTAGTTAAGAAAAAAGATAACTGTCTTTTCCTCGAGTGCTTATTCATGTCCATTCCATTGTAGGCAACTCCCAAGCAGTACCACCAGAGGAGCAACACAGCTCTGCCAAATCCAGTCACCTCTTGCTTGCTGGGTGATGGCGTAGTGCGTCATGAACGTGTGTACCAAAGACCACGTCGCAGCCCTGCAGATGTCCTGGATAGGGACGTATGCCAGGACGTGTGCCAGGAAGGCCACCAAGGACACTTGAGCCCTGGTCGAGTGGCCTTCACTATAGGTGGTGGCTTGGCCTGAGCCAGCTCATAACAGATCCGGATGCAGGTGGTGATCCAATTCGAGATCCTCTGCGAGGACACCGGGAGACCCTTCATCCTGTCCACTGTGGCGATTAAGAGCTGAGTCGATCTATGGAAGGGTTTGGTGCACTCCAGGTAGAATGCTAGAGTGTGCCGGACATCCAAAGCGTGTAGCCGCCTCTCCTGATTGGTTGAGTGTGGCTTCAGACAGAACCAGGAGGAAGATATCCTGGTTCACATGAAAAGGGGACACCACCTTAGGCAGGAAAGCCAGATGAGGTCACAGCTGGACCTTGTCCTTGTAGAATACCGTATACGGAGACTCCGAAGAGAGGGCCTTAATCTCAGATATGCACCTCGCCACGGTAATGACTACAAGTAAAGCAACTTTTCACGACAGATGGGAAATGGAACAAGAAGCCATAGGCTCAAAGGGTGGGCCTTTGAGCCTAGAGAGGATCAGGTTGAGGTTTCATTGGGGAACCAGGTCCTAGATTGGTTGGAAGAGCCTTTCAAGGCCCTTTAGGAACCAGACATCTCATGCGAGAACACGGATTTGCTCTGAACACATGGGTGAAGGGCCAATATGGCTGCTAAGTACACCTTGATGGAAGAAAGCGCAAGGCCGTGGTGCTTTAGGTAGGGCAGGTAATCCAGGATGGACTGCAGAGACAACCGGGTTGGGAAGATGCTATGCTCCGACACCCAGCAGAAGAACCGCTTACACTTTGCCAGGTAAGTCGCTCTGGGGAGGGCTTTCTGCTTTCCAAGAAAAGCTGCTGTACCTGACTAGAGCAGTCCTGTTCCTCTGGGTTCAGCCATGCAGCAGCCAAGCCATGAGGTGAAGAGAGGGAAGGTTCAGGTGCAGAAGCTGACCGGGGTCCTGCGAGAGTGGGTCCGGGCAGCTGGGCAGTGGCCATGGAGCAGCCACAGCCAGATCCATGAGTGTGCCGAACCAGAGCTGGTGAGACCACACCAGGGCGATCATAATGACTCGTGCCTTGTCCCTTTTGATTTTCAATAGGACCCTGCTGATCAGCGGAATTGGCGGGAATGCATACATCAGATCCCCCGCCCATGACAAGAGAAAGGCCTCGGAAAGGATGCCCCTGCCGAAGCCTTAGAGAAAGCAGAACTGATGACACTTCCTGTTCTGTCTGGTGGCAAACAGATCCATTCAGGGAGCCCACCACTTCTGGAAGAGCATCCCAACGACCTCCAAGTGGAGCGACCACACGTGGTGAGAGAAAAAGGACCTGCCTAGGCGATCCACCAGCATGTTTTGGACGCTGGGAAGATGCGAAGCTTCCTGGTGGGTCGCGTGCTGGATGCAAAAGTCCCACAGGCGGAATGCTTCTTGACAGAGAGTTGACGAGTGCATTCCCTCTTGCCTGTTGACACAGAACCTCGAGGTCACGTTGTCTGTCAACACCTGTACTACCCCAGCAGACAACTGTAGCAGGAAGACACCACAGGCTAGGCGGATGGCTCTGTCATTCCAGCAACCGGTAATGGCTCCTTGGACCGGTGGCTCAAACCACTGCAGTGGTGCCATACACTGGGAGAGCGGCTCGGGCATTCCCGGCACCAGGGCTGCGGGAACGGGTGCCGCACCTCTGTGGGTCTGCGTTGTTCCACTGGCGATTGCCTCCTCGAGACCGAGGAGCGCTGCCTGGAGTCCAGGGACTGACATCCAGATTCTGATGGGTGGGCTGACCCGTGACAGGGATGTGGTGGCTCTGCGCAGGCGAGCGCTGGCAGGACACTTCCTGTGGTGAGGAGCGGTGTCACACTGATGGGGACCGTTGGAAGGGTCTCAAGGCAGATTTTCCCCTGAAGCGGAGCACCTCCATGGCAGGCACCAGTAGGGACAATGTCCTTCGTGGCCTGAAAGGCCTCCAGTGTGGATGGCACCGCCAGGTGTCAAATGCCTCTGCCGCTTCCTGGGGTGGCGGGCTGATCCTGTAGTGGGGCTAGCCCGCTCAGCGGGAGCAGGGGCCTGACCTTCGTCTGGAGGAGAAAAGCTGCCCCTCACAGGTCTTTGCTCCCCTCTGGCCCTTTCCTTCCCTTTACCGGACGCAAGAGAACCTCCACTCCCAGCCTTTCTTTGCTTTCTAGCTAGTACTGGGGAGGGAGATAGAGGCCGGTCCGTAGTCGGTGCCAGTGGCACACTCTGCATCAAGACCACGGTGCTAGGAGCGGAGTCTGATCTGGATGGCTCTGGTGCTGGTGTAAGTGCTGACTCCATGAGAAGTGCTCAGAGGCGAATGTCCCACTCCTTTTTTGGTCCAAGGTTTAAAACTTTTACAAATGCAACACTTGTCACTAATGTGGGTTTCCCCAAGCACTTCAAACAGCTACTGTTGTGGTCATTGACTGGCGTAGGTTTTCTGCAACAGTCACAGGCTTTGGAGTCCCGTCAGGGACTACAAGCTAACTACAGTCAGGGAACTAAAAACTAACAACTTTTCAACAACTATATACATCAAAGTTTACAACGAGCAGTTGAGAGGAGTAAGCTTGCTGAGTTAAAGAGATGTTCCAGCACCATCACTGGTGATAAGAAGCAACTGAGGGTGGGGGGGAGCCAGCAGCGCCCCTTATATTGCGACATACACGAGCCACTCCAGACGGCGCCAGAGCATGTCCCCTACGAATACCATAGAGGGAAAAACTTCCGGCACTAGCACATGTGGTGAGCACACACACCTACAATGGAATAGACATGAGCAAGCATTGAAGAAGTAGTAAAGTTTACTTAAAGAATAGATCTAACTGTTCAAAACCAGTTTTATTCAATTTTTGAAAGCAAAAAGTCTATCCTTAATACAGGAAAACAAGAAAACCAGTGATTTGGAAGTCAAGGGGCCAGAGGAAGTTCTGATTTTTTTGTTCTAGCAGTTGGACATTTGGGGGTGGGTGCACGCCTCTTTGCAGAAAACATCACTTGGAATATTTCAGAGCTCAAGGTGAAGTCCATGTGGCCCCCAACAACCAGAGCTTTTCAGAGAGTCCTGGGCTTTGGGGCAGGGCACAGGCACATCCCAAAACTGGGGATCTGCACTGACAACACTCAAAGGTGAACTTAAATTCCTGTATTTCCATCTTCCTATTAGTTACTACGTTAAAATGATCCTTATGAATGCAAAGAACAACAAAGGACTTACCTTATCAAAAGAAGTTTTTTGCTCAGGTGGCGGGAAAGCAGCTTTTTGTTCTGGTGGTTGTGTTGTCGTAGTCTTCAATTGAGCAGTAATAGCCTGAACTTGAGCCATTACAGTATTATCTATGACTGGAGACTGGGGTTTTGGAGGCTGCTGAAAAGTCTGAAGAATCTGCTGAAGCTTAACAGAATAGACATTAAATCAAAATGAGTTTTTCTATTTAAAAAAAAAATTCTGAACTCTTGTTAACAGAATAAGTTACACAATATTTGTAAGACAGATACAGATATAAAAATGTACACTAGACAGGTGGTTAGTTTTAAGAGGAGGTCAACATACTTGTGTGCAGGTATAGCACTCATTTGTTTACTCTTGATAGTTAGATGGGTACCAGCAATAGATTTGTTGGGCGGGAAGTCACTAGGAAGCAGAAGGAGATTCATACAGACACTCTTGATACGTGTGGCCCTGCTCATCCTCCCCTGAGACAATCAATTATGTTCCTCCTAAAACCAGATTCTCCCTACAAGCCACACCAGAGCTCATTTGTTTAGTTTTTGCACTCTAGCCCCAGTAAAGTTAGTAAAATGGCTGTAAGTGCAGAAGGTGAACAATGCCCTACATGCAATTTATTAGTCACAGGGGTTGTCTGTTGTAGCTGACCAGATGAAAGCATACATACACAGTCATGACAAATATGAGAGAACATTATGAACAGAGTGAATATTTCCATAAGTCCAGGTTGGAAGTTTTGTTTGCTCTAATTCAGAGGAGGATTTACAAATTGAGTAATTCAGGTCAAAAACAAATTCAATGGATTAAGGTGTCTCTACCCTTAAGGGAAATATGGAGTCATCAAGAAAAACTTGATGCTTTGGAAAATCAGGTTAAGTCTAAAAACCTATCAGTGTTAAAAAGGATGAATGTTGGGAGTGAATTCAGAGAGCTTGTTTTGAATATAAAATCTAATCCAACGATTTAGGTAGAGAAAGTTTATATGATTCACAGGCCACCTTCTAGTACTTCAGAAGCAAATGGAAGATTGAGTGATCCTGCTCACTCTGCAAATGTTTGATGAAGGGTGCTAAGTAAAATATAGAAGAGAAAGGGTTTCTGGATAATAAGTGCAATACACTGTTCATTACATTGATAATTTAACTATCTTGATAATTGAACAGTGAGGGTTATTGGAATGTGTCAGTGAATTTTCCACAAAAATATTGACAGTACTGGAGGTTTTACCCATAAAGACCATCGACTGTTCAAATAAGTTACCTTAACTCTTAAATTCCATATTTTTAAGGGTTTTATTTGGGGGAAGGGAGGGGTACAGTATTATTATAGATTTTGTATCAAGGCTGTAGAAGCAACGGCTGTAACTAAGTTAGGTGATTTGTGAGAGAATTAAAATTACAATTGTAACGGAAATACAGATAGCTTACCTGTTGTCCTTGTGTTGTCTGAAATAACTGAGCTACAGCTGCAAAGGCATCAGAACTAGGCAATTGTGATACAGTAGGTACTGAATTAGCAGTGACTTGGGTGGGTTCAGATAGAACCTTTGCTGGAGAGGGTGGTGAACCTGCAAGAGAATTACATTGAAAACCAGTCCACTACAATTTAAGGTACTAACAGTCCACGTGTGTAATATAAAATATTCTACCTTCCAATGAAGAGATAATATTCATTACTTTGTAAACTTAGCTATCCCCCTCAAAAGAATTGCTGATGTACATTAAATTCAGCCAAATCAATGCATCTGTAGTCCAGTTTATACCACTGTGAACTAGCCCTGACAACATGATCTAACATTCTTTTAGATATCCCATTTACTATCTAGCACCTGCATGCTCTGTATTCAATGACAAAAAACTACAAATATTGGATCTCATAGGAGGGAGTCCAATGCATGAAACTTTGACCCAATGTTCCATTTATAGTATTACAATATTTTTTAGAGGAGTGGAAGGTGAAAACTTACCTACTGAAATAGCACCAAACATTGCATATCAACACATTTGTAAAATAAGTTCCAATGGCAAAGTTTAAGTTTGTACTATTAAATAATTCTTTCATTCAATGATTTATTCTAGGTTCCCATCCAATGGTTTATTTAAGGAGAAACAATAAAGTTTTCATGATTCATCCATCTAAGACTGAGCCATGCAGAAACTATTACAGGATCTGTTAGGGCTATAAGCCATTTGTTCAAGTGCTTAGTTTCTCTTAAAAATCTCATTTAATCTATTTCTTATGAGCAACTCTTTCCTGGTATATATTTCTTATACTGCTTCAGAAGGAACTAGCAGTAGTACAAGCCAAACTTCATATATAGAAGATTAAGTTCTCTAATGCAAAAACATCTCATACTACTACTTCCAGGAAAGGACACAAATTTACAATGGGTTTAATAAACCTATGTGATCAGTTCAACATATTTTAATATATGCATAGGAATATAAGGAAAATCTAATAGCAAAAGTTATATTTAGGACTTTGGTTTTTTAGTGCCTGCCCTCTGCACTTAATTCTTACACAAATGTTTTAGTAGTAGAAAATAAATTAACAGATACATTTCATCCACAATTCCTACACATTGTAAATATATAAATACATTTTATTGGGAAATGCACTTTTTTTCCCATTGAAATAATATAAACTTCAACCCTTTTATACTTAATGGATACGGTTAAACACTAAGTATCAGGAAAAAAAGTGAGAACTCTAGTAGATTCCTTATTATGGTTCAATACAAAATTAAATACAGTAAAGATATTACTATACTGTTAGTAAGTGGGAAAATGATGCAAATACACCTGCTTCAAAATATCTGAGAGAAAAGGTGGGTGAGGTAATAATCTTTTATTGGAGCAACTTCTATTGGTGAGACAAGCTTCCAAGCTTACACAGAGCTCTTCTTCAGGTCTCGCATTACTGACGTCACCTGTGGGCTGTTAGCCCCATGGCGGGTAAGGGGGCTCCAGCTGTCAGTGCCCCCCAAAAGTTAAATCAGTGGCAGCACTCCGGGTGAGAACGCGCATCTCTGACAGAGGTAGCATACTGTGGACATGAACCACCACAGTATGTTGACCTAACTTAGGTCAACTCAATTTGTAGTGTAGACAGGGCCTGGGTAAGTTTCCCAGACCTGAAGAAGGGGTCTGTGTAAGCTTGAAAGCTTCTCTATCTCACCAACGGAACTTGGTCCAATAAAAGATATTACCACTTTGTCTCTCTAATATCCTGGGACCAACACAGCTACAACAACATTGCATATCACAATGCCAGACTTATTTCTACGAACCTGTGGATCTGTTGACAGTTTAAATAACTGCAGTGTTGACTTGCAGAAAGGGAAAGCAAACAGTGTTCTGAAAAATTTGTTTTCCCAGAAGGCAAATGCAAGATTAAATGTTTTGTAATGTTTCCAAGAGTGTGATTCTGCTCAGAAAAATTACATCTCAAGACTTGCTCTGTGTGTGTATTCAGTGACACTGCTTGCTTATGGGACAAAAGTAAGTTTACTACTTTTTACTCTTTGCTGGATAGGCTCTGCAGTGCTGACTGAGCTGGATTCTATTCCTGTAATGCACTAACAGAACTGTTTACTGCAGGGACAAATTACTCCCTCTATTACACTTACGAAATCCCTCTGAAATCAGTACGATTGCACAGCTAAATCTGAGGGAAAGGAGTTTGGTCTGCTAGTTACCAGTGGCAGTACAGGAAAAGAAAAAAATACAGATCATGGTCACACCTCAGAGTGAGTTTTGCAAGGCTGTCAGGAAGTTACTAGACATAGCAAGTGATGTCTCTGAGCTCTGTTTTTCTGTATGTTTAGGAAAAGTGACAATAGGTGATGTCTTCCTAAGCATTACTGAAAAACATTTCACAGAAATCTTGTGAGCTGACACCATGCCTCACTTATACCAATTTAAACCATGTACAATACTGCACACCATTCAACACCAACCCTGTATTGGGGGTGTCAGAAGTACAAACTGATTATTCAGGATGAGGATGGAGATGTGTGCTGCAGATGGTGGAAGGAGATAGTTCAGAGAAGGCAAAAGATTGAGAAGGGGAACCGGAGAGTGGAGAATAGGTGGGGTGTTGAGTGACAATTATTTTCTTGCATTTTATGGCTTGCACCAATGCGTTATGCAGTCTAAATAACCTTGCCTCAAGATTTTTGTGTTGCAACAAATACTAGTCACTAAAAATATGCTGTGTAGGTAATAATATTTTTATATACTTTAAGGCATGAAGTTTCTCCACTGTAAGATGTTCCATACTTTACTGAACCAGATGCTTTAAAAGGAACATAGAATTACACACTGGGAAATAATAAAAAGTCTCACAGATACAAGAAGAAAATTAAGACGGAAGTCATTTTTAGTGGGAACATTACTATCAACACCCAATAGGTCTATACATACTTAGTTGTATGGAAATATCCAAAGCCATATTAGCTCAAATTTCAATAATTTCCAATAACACATGTATAAATATACAGCAGCAACATTTATTCAGAATGTGTTCGGATTCTTCTATATAATTTTTGTCATAAAAGTGAATTTTGAAGTGTGCTAGTGAACTTGGTTTACAAACATGAGGTACTTTTACCTTAGTGCACCAAATAGTAACAAGTCATTGGTTCCATAACTTTTAATTTACAAGTTGTACTGACATTCATACCTTCATTATTTGTAGCGTTTTCCGCCATCGGGGCTGCGCTACTAGTTCCTGCTGCCATATCCAGGAGAGGCTGAATGATCTCTATTTTAAACACTCCATTTTTCTGCCAAAGGTTCAGGACACGAACTATCTTACTCTGTTCAAATAAAAGAAAGTATTAATATAGAACAAAATATTCCTAATGCACAGGCTCTAAATTTAGTTCTTGCACATAAAGAAATGGGTGACTGGATCAGTGGTCTTGTAGCATGTTCAAGTTTTAGACACAGCTTGATTACTTGTTGCACAGGTTAGCAGGATCCACACTACTGGACCCCCCCCCTTTTTTTTTGGATACACTAAGAGAGCTTGTGCCACTCTCTAGCAAACTCCTCTGGCAAACCAAAGGAATAGCAGTGATAGAAAATTAAGAGTTGCATCCAGTCATACGGCCATTCAGGAGAGTTTGATGTGGCCTTTGGAAGAATCCCAGAAGGGGAAGGCAGAGAAGAGCTGAGAAAAAGACAACAAAAATGCAGAAGTGAAGTGGGAAAGTCTGACAAAAGGGAGTGAAAGGAAGTGAAAAGAAAATACTAGAACAGAGTTTTGAAGTGGGGAGGAGGGAGGGGGGCGGAGGGGAGAGGAAGACTATCTGCATTTCTTTCAGCTACCAATCCAATCAACTGCAACAAGTCCCACACGAGAAGGATCCCTGAAAAGTAAATAGTTTTGGTATGGTCTCCAATTGGACAAAGACATGAACACAAAGAACAGAGAATAAGTTAAAAAAGAATTTATCATCATCAGGATCTCCACTGAAATATTACCTCTAATATTACCACTACCCACACAATGACGACTATGGCATTGCAGTCAAGGCAGAGAACCACCAAATTAGCTTTCATATAAGCAGGAACACACAATTAAGAATTCAGCAATTCAAAACATTCAAGAAGTTTTAGCTATACCTTGTCTTCAGATGGACAGAGATATAAATACTGGAATGTGGCAGTTATATTTTTAGAAAATCTTGGCCCAAAAACATCCTTGTCTGTTCCAAACTGGTGACGAGACTGACGAACAATAGAGTCAATAACATATAATCCAGGGACTTTATATTCTGGTTTGCACTGAAAAGATAGATTGTTCGCAGTTATTGCAGGGTAGCATATACAGTATTAACAGCATAACCACCCTAATGCCCCAATAGGTTTCAGAATCGCTACAAGCAACCTGCACCTTGTACTTAATATTTTCCTGCAGGTCCCAACAGAAAACTTGAATTCTACTATTTACAGTTCTCTTTTTACCAGTACTATAGGGATGTACAAGGAGCTATGTCTAACACTACTAAATCTAATAGCAAAATGTGTTAGTAATGTGTACCCTGATAAACAAAGTAGCTAAAATATTTATCTTTGAGAAATACTGGCATGGCAATACAATTTAAACTTGAGTAAAAACACTTACATAAAGCAAATACTTAAAATATGATTAATCATGAACAATAACTATCTAGGTCTTCCCACTAATTGAAAGACAACCTACAGGAAAAAGAATGAACTGCAGCAAGCCTATTTATACACATGATGCAGCAAAAGTTTTACTATTTAAATCAATTTTATACTAATCAATTTGGGGGGGAGGACAATGTAAGGACTGAAATGAGTTAAGATGATAAATATGTAAGAGAAAGTAGTGCATGAGATATTGATCTTAATAATGCAAAAAGCTAGTTCTGTTGTATGTAATAAAAAAGGTTGGAATAACTTGGAGAAAGCAGGACCACAAACAGTAGATACTGTGAAATGAAAATTGTTTAAATGAGCAAATGTAGAAATCAAGAATGTAAAAAAGAGATGACTTCCATGTATTACATAAGCATTATGTCCTGTAATGTTTCTAAATGTAACTAAAATTAATTGGTGGCAAAGGTAGGGAGGAAGGAGTTACTTTGGGACCTAGGGCAGAATAGAGGAAAGATGTTTGTGTGCCTTTATGTAGTAAAGATTCACTGTCTCCTTTGCTGCCTTAAGAAGCAGGGTCTGGGACCTGAACACAACTCCTCTCTTACTTTCCAATATAGACCACCATCACTGGGCCATCAAGCTAGCTCTCACTCACTTTTCAGTCTCCTTCCACTAATTTAGAATTAATTAGATGCTTGAAAAAAAGTATTTATCTTTCTGATGTTGCCTTTTTTCATTTGGCATATATTGCCACTTCTTCCTGTTTGTCTAATGGAACTTAAATTAACATGCCTGTTGGTCTACTTTTGTGGATGGTGATGTATTTAACCTATTTTTTAAGTTTCCAGGCACCAGGGTGTGTAAGTTACATTTTCTGGAAACATCAATCATAACGGTAGTAGTAAAAAAAGACACAATCAACTTGAAAAATTAGAAGAATTTGCGTTTCAAGCACTATATCTATCCTTAAATCCCACTGACGATTTCTGTGGTTTTATAATCACACTTTTTTTTTCCATCTCCTGATGCTGTATGAAAGACTCACATGAACAGAGGGAAATGATTGACTATATACAAATTGCTGTCAAATGCACAAAGAAAAAAAAACGCTGAAAAAAAGTTCTCTAAAAAATAGAGTTTTTTTTTTGATTTTTCAGTACAGTAAGTAGCCTTAGGTAATACTTGTAGTATTACTACAGTAACTCCTAACTTAACGTTGTAGTTATGTTCCTGAAAAATGGGATTTAAGCGAAACGATGTTAAGTAAATCCACTTTCCCCATAAGAATTAATGTAAATGAGGGGGCTAGATTGCAGGGAAATTTTTTTCACCAGACAAAAGACTATTATATACACACACATACATACCACACAGTATAAGTTTTAAACAAATAATTTAATCCTGGTACACAGTGATGATGATTGTGAAGCTTGGTTGAGGTGGAGGAATCAGAGGGTGGGATATTGCCCAGGGAATGCCTTACTGCTAAATGATGAACTAGCAATTGGCTGAACCCTCAAGGGTTAACTCTCACACTCTACAAGGCAGCAGGAATGGAGGGAGGGGAGACAGCATCACAGACAGAAACAGAGACACACACCCCTGTAAATAAGCTGACCATACTCTTAAGTACACTGCCTTGTTAATTAGATCAGCTTGCTGAGACCGCAGCTGCTTCCAGCAAGCTCCCTCCGTCCTGAGCCCTGTCATGTGTCCCCCCTGCCCTATGGAAGATGGGGTAAGCGGGGTGCAGAAGCAGGGGAGAGGGGGACACTAATCAGCCCCCCTCCTTCCTCCTCCTCCCCCCCCCCGCACAACAAGCAGGAGTCTCGAGGAGCAGCTCCAAGGCAGAGGGCAGGAGCAGCACATGGCAGTGGGGGGAGGGACACAGCTGAACTGCCAGCAACTGATAGCCTGCTGGGCAGCTGCTGCACAGGGAACTTAGGAGAGCGGGGAGCTGATGGGGGGCTGCTGGTCCACCCTGGTTCCAAGCCACCACCAGCTAGCTGCAACGGGCTGCTCTTCCTACAAGCAGTGGACAAAGCAGACTGCTGCCAAATGATGTTAGAAGGGAGCATTGCACAACTTTAAACGAGCATGTTCTCTAATTGATCAGCAACATAACAACGAAACAACATTAACCAGGACGACTTTAAGTGAGGAGTTACTGTAGTTAATAAAAAATAGTGATAGAGCTGTGGATGTTTAAATGCCCAGGATCCCATTAAGTAAATATTAAAAATACTATAAAAGCACTTACCTTTTTGATAAACTTCTCTACTATCTGTACTACATGCTTGTAGAGCTGGAAAAGAGATGTGATCTATTTAATCAGTGATGTACGATTTCAGAGGTATTTTAATTTTTTGTACATATTAACAATTAGGAAAACAAATATATTCTAGTGTGTGATGCACTTCATCTCAAACATTCCTTAAAAGGTTTTCATGGATAAAACTGACCTTGCCATTGGAAGCATCTCACATCACATATACATAACATGAAGGCAGTACTATTGTGACAACTACTTTTTCCTGTTTTTACATATTTTTTTTAAATTTGATGCGATGGGATGTAGTTACATGTTACAACATTTTGATTTTATCATATACAAATCATAACAAGACTGTAAACCATAGCATCAGAAAATGTCATTTTCTTAAAAACAAGTTGGTGTTACCGTTTTGCAGAGATACTGGCAGCATAACCCAAGATAAAGAACGTTCACTCACTTTCCTTTGGGGGAAAAAACCCTCCAAAAGTCAAACAAAAGAAATCTTTACCAAGCTATAAAATTTTAGAAATCATGTAAAAGATATGCATTTTTTAGAAATCAAGTACAATCCAAAAATAATGCTACTGGTATGGTCTGAATTTGTGGTTTATTTCTGTTTTTCTTTACCTTAATAGCTTTAATGGCAGCTTTAGTAATGAGAATCATCTTTGCTCGGGAGATAGGAGGTTTCATCTCCATGAGTGAAAAGAGCTAAACAGAGAAAATAAACATTAAAAAAAATTCTGAAAGAAGCAAGCAAGTCAGTCAACAGAACAATCAATGCAGGTTCTTGGCAACGGTCATGCAACCAAGATTGTGTTATAACAAGGCCTGAAATCAAGAGATCAGCCACTTCAACAATGCAATTACTGACTTGAAAGCCAATGTCTGAAGTTGTACAATCAATGTCAGGTTTTTTTGTTTGTTTGTTTTTAAAGCCCCATCCATGGATTTAGCGGCTGTTGTCAGAAGATTTCATCTGTGTCTGACTTACCAGTTATGAAACTAGGTACACATTAATTCCCAAATTCTAAACTATTTCATGGAAACGATCTGAAACCAAGAGAATAAACTGTAGTTTGACTTAAAGTTATTTAACCTGATCATCATCAGTTTGAGCCTGAGCTTGCAGTTTATACTTCTATACTACTCCGGAGTCCAAAAAAGGTTTTCCCATGAGCACAAACTTTTAACCATTGAGACCATCACAAACCAATATCCCATCTCTTATTCATCCTGTTACATATAGGTATAGCAGCATATATGCTAAATACCTCCATTTAACATTCTTGCAATAGTAAGGGTGAAATACTACCACAGAAACTAACTGCATCAATTGCTTTGGAAATTTTCATACACTGAACTACTCTTCATGCTAATATTACCCCGAGGGGAAGTTATTTATAAGTTCCTCAGAAATGAGGGCCAAGATTTTCAAAAGTAATTACTGAGTTTGGATGACCAATGTGAGGCATCTCAAGAGCCTGATTTACAGGATTAACTAATTTATTCAAATATAATCTAAGCACAACATTTCTGTTTTAAGTACATTAGAAGTTGTCAGTGTTATTCTATTACCACCACCATTAAAGACAAAAAAAGGCCTGACAGTGTTAAATTTCTTTAAATACCTATTTTAAAATTAATTTTAACTGTAATGGGTTTGTAAATTCTAAGAAAATGCATTAGTACCCAAAATGTTCTGTAAATTTGGGGAAGATACACTGTATTCCCCATGCATAATAAAACAGGGATTCAAACTACTACAAGGACAAAATCAACTCAACCTTAAAATGTGGATCCACAACTGGCACCTCTATAATTTAACAGCACCTGATGTGTGAAAGGTTAAAAACTTAATGGAACCGTTTTCTCTTAGAGTCAAGGTATTTAACAAACACACACACAGTACTCTACCTCTTCAAGGTGATGAGCATTACCCTGAAAGGCAGAGTAGTAGTATCTCAATTTTGTATAGAGGGAAATTTATAAACCCAGATTAAGCCTGGGTCTACACTACAAACTTATATCAGTATAACTACATTGCTCATGGGTGTGGAAAATCCACACCCCTGAGCAACATAGTTATACCAATCTAACTCCCAGCGTAGACAGCGCTATGTTGATGGGAGAGCTTCTACCATTGATACAGCTACTGCCTCTCGGGGAGCTGAAATACCTGCACCGATGGGAGAAACTCTCCTGTTGGCGTATGCAGGTAGCATCTTCAATAAGCGCTACAGCTATGTCACTGCAGCGCTGTAAGTGTAGACAAGCCCCAAGTGATTTGAACAAGACTATAAAGCAAGTAACAGATCCAGGAGAGGAAGTTCAAGCATCTTTTCTCCTTGTTGGCACAGAAGGGGTGAAGCAGCACTCCTCCCCACCCTCACCCACCACCTAATCACAGTAGAATTCTCCCACTGCCCACACAGCAGTACTTCAGCGTCTATAACACTGACTCTTCAGACTGCTGAGGACAGTGAAGCCCTAGAGACAACCACTGTTCAGGTGGGTAGAAACAGGTGCAGAAGAGAGAAGAAAAACAACCAACAACTACTTCACACCAGCACTAAACTGTGTTGCTTTTGCTAATAACTATACTGAAGTCTATATACACATAGATCATCTATGTCACCTCAAAGAATAATTCACTAGAAAGACTATACCATCAAAGTTGCCCCAACATCTTATGAGATGGCTGGCTCTGATACAGTTTCTATTTTCTACTGAGCACTTCTGACAGCACATCCCTGATCCAAAAGCTCCTTCCCTCCTGCCTGTCGTCCTCTCCCAGGCCCCCAGGCCCCACTGCAATAAATAAATAAAATAAATAAATCATGGTACTGAGTCTGAGTCCAGGTCAGCTGGCTCAGGCTAAAAATAGAAGTGTAGATGTTTGGGCTTGCTGGAGCCCAGGCTCTCAGTTCCTCCCCCTCATGGGGTCTCAAAGCCTGAGCTCCAGCCCAAGTCCGAACATCAACACTGCAATTTTACAGCCCCACAGCCTGAGCCCAAGTCAGCCAATACAGACTGTGCCATGCGTTTTTTACTGGAGCATAGACATACCCTCTGAGGAAATGCCACTCTTGCTCCCCCTCCAACCTAAGAAGAGGTGCACCACCACTTTTCATCCTCCCCCTTTTAGCTCCTGCTCTCTGTCATTAAGTCTATTTCTAGATCTCCCAGTCTATTAAAATGAATGTTTGCTGCTCCTTCCCTACACTGCCCTTGCTATTTGAAGGCATGTCTACAGTATCCCAGAGTTCAGACTAAGGGGATGTCAGAGCACACCAAAGTGCTGCACTCTAACTCCCCCGTCTGTACACAAACTTATAAGGTCTTGAATTTGGACGTCCACACAGATAAATTATAGCACAGCACTCTGGTGTGCCCTGCTAGTCACATCCCCTTAGTATGAACTGTGGAGCAATGCAGACAGGCCTTAAGTTGCTGCTTACTATGGGCAGAAGTATGTAATTGACATGATTCTTGTAATTGAAAAGCCTGCAAGTCTCAAATATCCTATACACATGGGAGAGTTCAAGGTAAAAAATACAGCTATATTTCAAAAAGAAAGAAAATAAATGAGCTATTATATAAAATGATTCTATTCCTCAGGGCTGTGTAATACAGGCATCAGGGCCTAGGAAATACCAGTTAAAAAGGCCTAATACCAGGATCCTCATCTCCAATAAGAACCCATTAGCCAAACACAACAAAGGAACGGAGAATTCTCTTTTGGACAGTTTAACCCAAAACAGAATTGTAGCCACCATATTAGCCCTTTTTTTCTAGTATAATTGTTAGTCTGAGATCCTGGTAAGATGTTTAATAGCCCATTTCAGAGGATGTCAGATTAAACAGATTTCTTCTCTCTTTTCAATTACTAAGGGAAAGAAAAAACAAAAGTAAATAGGTTTAGTTAAATAACAAAATTATGGACTAAATACTTGTAGTCACAGAAAACAACCACCAAGCTTTCAGCATAGTTACCAAAACAAAAAAACCCAACATTGGCAGTAATTAAATACAGGAAGAATAAACAAGTACATGCTTGTTTCCTTAACTAGATTCCTAGTCCAGAAAGTATTTTTCTTTCAACAGCATCTTCCTTCAGGAGCTAGTAGCCCAGTAACATAGAGGAGCCAGCCACCACATACAGCTGTTGAATCCATTCTCTCTGTGTTATCATCAACCCTTTGAGACAGATAATTTTTAACCCAGGAGTTTGGCTAACCCTTCCACACAAGGCAAATTCCAACTCCAGATTGGCTTTAACCAGTCAACATTTCAAACCAATAGATACATTCCAAGCTAGCATCCATCTCTGGCTGCCGGGAAGGATTAGTATGGCTAACAAAACATTTAATGTCACCTGCTAGTTAGCTTCACACAATGAATGTGTTCCTTCCCTTTATCATTTTGAAGCTCAATCTCTTTTTTGCTAAATTATTACACATTCCTTCTTTGTTGGGTGAACAAAGAGAATGCCAACACTGATTCTCCTGAATGTTAACATAAAAATATTGAAAGACAAAGTAACCATTAGCATGGACATTTCTAAATTGTGATCCTCACACCTGCCCTTCCTGGTAGAACATAAGAGCAGATTCTACTCCCTTGATGCAGCTGTGGCCAGGAGGCTGACAGAAGGAAAGAAGAGTACAAGGAGCCATGTTGTATAAAGGAGCCACCTCTTTCTTCCCATAGACGAAGGAGGAGTTCTTCCAGCCAAGAAAGCAACCAATCTCCCATCATGAGTGCAAAAGAAGCCTGTGTCAAGGCACTGTCCTCAGGAACAGCAGTTATTTCAGGAGTGTAATAAAAAAAACAAGGAACTCGGGGAGTGCAGAAGGTAGCCATGGACCCAGGAGGAGGTAGGAGCCAGGCCTGAAGATCAGGAGACTGCTTCTAGAGACTGATATGATACAGCTAGGAACCAGCGAAGGATCCAAGGAGCAGGCAAGCACCCAGCAGGTAGGAAGTGGGAAACCAAATATGAAGAAGTGTATGAGGTAGGAGTTGATAACATGGGGCCATTATCTAAGGAGCAAGAGAAGCAGGAATTGAGGCCTAGTAAAATAATCCACGAGAAAGAAAGAAATGAACAAGGGCCTTGAGGAAAGCAGGGCTGGGCAGAGGAATTTGGGAATACTGCCTGTGTTGCTGCAGATAGCACTTCCCAAGCAACAACAGCATTAACAGAGTGAAAGTGATGAGGATACCACAAGCAATATTCCCAAAGGGGACTCTGAAAGTGCATACATGGGGAAATTGGGGGTGGAAAGATATGGATCAAATTTAAATGCAAGTCTAAATTAATGAAGACAAGCTATTTAAAAAACTGCACCTACAATTTGTAACTAGCCCTTGGGATGGAATAAACAAAAATCTGTTTCCTTCCCTAATAATTTTCACATACCCCATTAAAATAAACACTGTGATTTGCAATTTTAGAGTTGATTGTGATTGCTAAACTGTGGAAGTTAAATAAAAATGTGGCAAAACCATGTTTTAAAGAAAAAAATCAAATTGTGTCTTTACCAACCTTGTTAGTACCCCCTTAAATTTGTTTTGGTGTAAAATCTCACTGTTACAACAGGGATATGTTACAATAAGGTTTATGTCCTTTCCACATATGAGAGTGGGAATGTCCTGCTAAACTTTGGATCTTTTGTTATATACACTGAACCCAAATCAGGGTACAT